TGTTTGGAAGTGCCACTTGAATTCTCCTAGAGCCTGAGTATTGGAGACAAACATTAATACTAACCTTGCAGAACGATGACAACCCCTTACACGCCGACATCGTTCATCCAGATGACTCATAGCACTCCAGCAACGCCGACGCCAGCGCCAGCACCAACCCGCGGTCGTGGAACAGGTGCCAAACGCGGACGCCAAGCCTCGCGGTGTCATTCCCCAATGTGTCCACCGATTCCCCTCGCCCCCAGGCACAATCCGCGGCCTAGCAACCCCTACACCTGCAATGCGATTCACCCGGCCCAATGGGCCACTCCGGAGTCCCTGCAAGTGCCACTGCCACCGGCTCGACATCTACTGTGACTGTCCCTGCTGGGTCGAGTAGCGCTGCAATCGCTGAGATGTGTCGATGGACAGTGGGGATGATGAACCTATGGCGACGCAGCCCCCGCCTGTTACTGCTGCCACTTCTTCGACAGATGCGATAACTCCACAGCCTGCGACCGCTGCGCGTCCCGCGGGTGCCCCAGACGAGGATGCAGAGGGTGAAGACGAGCTTTTGCCTGCAATGGCGGATGATGACTACTCTGCACAGTTGTCATGGCAGAGTGAGAGTAAAGATAATCTGAAGTAACTTGATGTATTTTGTTCGGTTTGACAATGTGTCGTGCTCATGATAATCTAGGGTTCTTATGGACAATTTCAGTCCGGGACAGTACGAACGCTTTGAAGCCTATCGACGTCACGCGCTACCGAAGCAGGCTATACGGAAGGTGCGGGTATATGATAACATGATATTGCAGTCTCATTTATGACGTCATGGATAGGTCATACAGCAAACGACGGGACAGCAGGTCTCTCAGCCCGTTGCGCAAATAGTAGCAGGGTGTTGCAAAAGTCTTTGTTGGCGAGATCGTAGAAAAAGGTGCGCTTCTTAGTTATGCACCATATCTTACGATGTGTTCTCATTTATCTTGAACTTAGCTCGCCATGTCCAATCAAAGCGCAACGATACCGGCCCCCTTACACCAGACCACCTTCGTGAAGCGTATCGAATGTATCAGGCAGAGACCGGTCGTGTGGGGAGTGCACGGCCAACGCGAGGGAAGCGGCTGTTTGTCAGGTAGCGCGTGATGATCAGACTTGCGGTACCATTATATCATGAAGTGGCAACCTGGACATGAATTAGCACCGGGGGGCCACTTGTTAGCGTTCGATAGCAAGATAGAAGTATATGGACATGATGGTGCAGGGCGTTAAAGTGATCTGATGGGCCTGTACAAGCGCTATGATATTAGGTCATGATTTTGCCAAAAAGCCATACATGTTGCTTGCAGTCCACAAGTGCAATCTCTGATGCCAATGATTAGCTGTGTCCGATGGTGCTGTCAAGATCATGAAACTAGCCAAGACTACATTGACCGACGCTACCGGGAATTAAGTCGAACACGGCAGTCGCGATGAAGGATATGACTTGTCACGTGACGGCAGCAGTAGCTGTGGATACACAGCCTCGGGTGTAAGTGAGGTGAAGCTTGTAGTCCTCATCCATCTACTCCCAAGCTCAATTCCTACCAATGAAGAAACTATTCGGGCGGGACAAAGCAAAGCAGCAAAAGGTAACGTCGCATAGAGATGCTGATGTTGTCATCGACGATGTACGTCTCTGATCACTTTTGGCAACTTCATCTATGTCATAACTCGCAATATTGCTGACTCGAATTTTGATCTATATCCATAGGATGCACCACCTATGCGCCCCCCGCGCCCCTCAGAAGACCACCGTGACTGGGAGATGCTATCTGACCCCCCTGTCCCTTCTAGTCCGTATCCTCAGTTTGCAGTGCCTCCAACGATACCAAGTCGCTCGTCTTCTCTTGCTTCGCTCCCACCTATCGTATTACCCCCGCGTTCTAATAGCCCGTATAGCGCCACAGGTCACACTGCCCCCCACCCCAGACTAATAACCCAAACCCAACCCATACCGTGCGGAGAGACGGACGCAAGATTCAGAAGGCGCAGCCTGCACCTGCTGTACTCGGTATACTGAAGTCCCTTGATCCACACTTGGACCTCGCCCTTCAACATTCCCACTCACACCACGGCCATGAAGTATCAGACGATTACAGGGACAGGGCAGAGAAGAAGGAGAGGAAGAGTTTCTGGGACGGAATTATGCGTGACAGGGACAGGGACAAAGATAAAGACAGGGAGCGTGGACGTGATAAAGAGCGTGAAACTCGTGAGAAGGAAAAGGAACGAGAAAAGGAGAGGGAGCGAGAAAAGGACAAGGAACGCATTTGGCGCGAGGAGGATAACCCCTCAGAGCTTACGCGCATGATCGGTGCGTTCCTTCAGCCGATACCGTACATTTGATGTCCGCGTGAACTGATATCGGCTGTAGGGTACCTTACAGCAACTTCATCGGAGGACTGGACCCTTGTGCTCGAGGTCTGCGAGCGCGCGTCTTCTAATGAAGCGAATGCAAAGGAGGCTATGAAAGCCCTCAGGAGAGAATTCAAGTGCGTTTCATAGCTAACGCTCAATTTTATACCACTGACAGGGTGCTTGGCGTACAGATATGCAGAACCCAAATCTCAATTATCTGCTGCAAGGGTAAGCATTACCCCCGTCTTGTTGCTTCATCTTGATCTCTCACCTTGGAAAATTCATACTCATCTGGTCTCCATCCAATTTGCGTTACCGTTCGCACAGTTATGGGCAATAATGCTCCGCAACGCCTCCGACATCTTTCTTACTCAGATCAGCTCCCGTAAATTCATTGACACCCTCGAGGACGTGCTCATAAGCTCAAGAACCAGCCCCGTCGTCAGAGAACGACTAATGGAGGTGCTTGCCGCTGCAGCGTTCATCACCAGTTCACGTATGTGTTTTTTTTATCTATCGCTGAATCCGTTCTCGACTTCTCGAACCATCCCCCTTTGCTGGATATCTTTCGAACTATCGTTCTCATCTGCCGTTTACTCCATATACTTTTCGGAAACCCGTCTTTATCGGTCTCATTCCATCAAAACCCACGTTTTTTTTAGTGTTACTGACTATCTTGCTTGTCCTTCTTCACAGGTCCTCACCCCTCACCCAAATCCGAACCATCGCCGTTTTCACTCAAAGATCGCGACCGTGATAGGGACGGTTTCCGTGCACTATGGACGCGATTGAAACCTGCTGACAAGCCCGATGTGGGCATTCCCTTCGACACAGAGGATGCTATGTTTAGCCCTCCCATCGTTCCAACGCGTCCGCCGATAGGGGAGGTCAGTGCCTCGTTCTGGTTTATGACAGTACCCTGATCAATCCTCTTGCTTTATTTTTTTGCACACTTTTTGTCCTGGTGATCTATTAGCGGCCGTCAAGGAAGAGCCTCCACCAGCGTGGCGTTATTCCTCCTGAAGAGGACATGAAGCGTTTGTTCCAGGAATGCAAAATCGCAAAAGGAAATGCGAATGTCCTTTGCGAATTGCTTACATACACGAAACCGGAGCAGATAGAAGGGAGCCTAATACCGGTACGTGTGATCTCTCAGTTACTTATGATCTCCATGTTGTCGATCTGCCACATCACCTTCGCGTGGCATTATGACCCTTCTCTTACTAACTTCCACGCTGACAATCTCAATCTGACTAATTCATAGGAATTTTTGTCAAAATGCCGCGCGTCGCAAGAACTCATATATACCCAAATCCCATGGGCATCTGCAGGCGCTGAACGATCACGCCTTGACCGAGAAAGGAATGCAGAAGGAAACGGACGTACGAAATCGCAGCTTGACCTTCAATTCAGTTCTCCACCGAGTCGTGATTACCATGGCGGGGATGCGAAATTATATAATGCAGATGGAGAGGAGCAGACTGCGGAGGAGGAGCTTCTTGGCGCGTTGCTTGAAGCGAATGAGGCGCTGTTTGGGGCGATGAGGATGTATGATGATGTTATGCGGGTTGCGGAGGAGCGGGTGGCCGTTGAAATTAGTAGGAGGGATGTGAAGATGGACCGAAGAGTGAGTGTTTTTTCTATCTTTCTCTCCACCCGAGTTATTCGTTTTCCTTGTCATTTTCCCGCTTCGTCGTTTTGTTTTCTTCCTGGCTGAGACTGACATTTCGTGTAGCACATCGAAAATGAGTACCTTGGAGAATCTCACCACGATTATGGTGGTTCCTCACGCACGCCATCACCGATGCCATCGCCACCTGGCTCGCCCCGTCATCCCGATCTCCCTCCTGTTGTCCCATCACAAACTCATCCCCTTCCTCGGGTCCCTCCTGCGCTTTCTCCTGCCCACTCACACTACGGTTCACCACCGCAGTCTATGAGCACACCGACACTGCTCGCTCCGCCACCTCCGCCCATAGGACCTCGTTCGCCTGCATTCCCGTCACGCCCACCCTCGCCAGATAGGGGTGGTCTCGTACGTGCATCAAGGGGGAATTCGCTGGAAAGTATGGGTGGTGCTTTGGAACGGCTGCACATGGAGGATAACGACGTAGATGAAGAAGAGGTTACATCTCCCATACGACCAAGCGCGAAGGCGCTTGGGAAGAGGAGGGTCGTTGAGGAAGCCGAAGATGGTATGTTACGTTTTCATCTGTTGTTGCGTGGTTTCTAATGCGTGATGGATGTAGAACAATACGACTCGAGTGACTTGTACTACGAGCCGAGGCGCGAATCCGTTGCACTGGACTCAGATGAGGAAACACGCGGTGGGGATCATGCAAATGCCTTATGGGGAAGACCTACGCAATACGTGTATGACGCGGCTGCTGAGCGCACGGCGCAGCATCTGCGAGAAGGTAGAGTGAATGTAGCTGTGAATGGGGTGCATTAGGGTTCTTTTGATAATTGGCACTTGTGGTTCTGCTACTAATCTGTCTCGAGCTTCATTTTAAGTACTTGTGGTTAGAGAAGATGTCCATTTCATTCCTTCACATCATGTTCAACCAATTTGTATATTAGCTTCTGTAGTCAATCATCCAACCCTGCTATTTATGTTTTCTTTTGGAACTGTTTTCATTGATTACAACAATTGCAATACCAGTGTAACACCCTGCTCTACGTTCTGCTCATTCGTATACAAAGTGGGCTCCGGCGTTTCAGCTCCAGACTTCTAAGTAACTGATGTGACTTTGTGAGTTTCAGATCTCTACACCGCATTGCAAACAACAATAGGCACAAACTCTAGCGTATATGGCATCCACATCAGCGTCCGCACTTGTGCAGGAGCTAGACGACGTACCCGACGTGCTCACATGGCTCAACGACACACTTACACCGCAGGACAACCATGTTCCGCTAGCTACTCTCGAGTCGCTGCTGGCAGACCTGCTGACAGCCACAGACCTTTCAGCAGTAACAACTTCCGCTGCACTCGAGCGCACAATCGACGAGGTGTCGCGCAGCGCTCCCCGTCTCACCTATGACCTGCATTTCATGCGCGATGGTGCCCTTTCCCTACATTCTGCTCTCGATACCGTCACCGCCCGCATTCCAGCTGGAACGGGGACTTCTGCTGCTCTCGACAAGTTGCAGACTCTTGACACTGCAAAACGACGGATGGAGGCCGTAAGGGATGTGCTGCGTGAGGCAGAGTCGTGGTCCAGCTTAGAGGCCGAGGTTACTGCATTGTTGGCGGAGCGTGCATATGACAAGGCTGCTGAGAGATTGAGCGAGGCTAGCAGGAGTATGCCTGTGTTTGCTGGAACCCCGGAATACGAGCCCCGCCGTGCGCTGATGGTGTCCCTCCAAAACCAACTCGAGGCTGCTCTCAGTTCTGCGTTGGTTGGCGCGATCAACTCGGGCGATACGGCGCTTTGCAGGAGTTTTTACGGCATATTTGCTAACATACAGAGGGAGAGCGAGTTCAGGAACTATTACTTTGGCTCTCGGAGAGCAGGGTTGGTTGCGTCGTGGCAGAGCGAAGTTCTGGAAGACACGGAACCGTTAGTGCCTGCGGTGCCGAAGCAGACGTTCAGTGCCTTCTGGGCAAGTTTTTGCGCGAATTTCCTGCTTGTGGTCAATGCGGAGCGCACGTCTATTCCTGCCATCTTTCCTGATCCTCAAATCACGCTCTCGACGTTCATCACTTCCACTCTGTCCACCTTGCAGCCTTCGTGTCCGCAACGCCTTGCGTCCCTTTTCAACACCGCCGGTTCATCTGCTCTCAAGGATGTCATATCCATTTACAAAACGACAGAGGAGTTCGCGGCAAGCACAGACAAGATCATGGAGAAAATACAGTTCTCCGTTATCCCTACAGACAATCCTTCGGATGGCCCTTTGCCTCCGAAGCACACACGCCGCCGCTCCATGCGTATGTCCATGTCCTGGCGCTCGAATTCAGCCACGAACTTCTCACGAGCGCAGCAGTCCACGCTCAATGATGCGCTTGACTGGGACCAAACACTCTTTCAGGCGTTTCTAGATTTCCAGGTTGAGTATGGCACACTGGAGCGGCGCCTCCTCTCTGATGAGCTATATTTTGCCTCCACACTCACTCCTAACAAAAATCCAAACGCGGACCGCGCCCGTCTTCTTCGCGAGTGCGCGGTTGATGTGTTTAGTGTCGCAGAGGAAAGCCTCGTACGCTGCATGGCATTCACGTATGGATATGCTGCTCCAGGACTCGTCTCCGCGTTGGACTTGTCTCTCTCGTCCTTGGTTGACTCTTGGACCCAATCCCTGACTGCAAATCTTTCTGCTCCTTCAAGTGCCCCGGCGGAATCTGAAGATGATCTCGCAGATCTGGATTATTCCCCGCAGGACTGGAGCAACATCCAACTCGTTTTACATCTCCTCGCGTCAACACGGGCCGTGCTTGACCGACTTGCGACCTTTGAAAGCAAGCTGCGAGCTGCACTCGTACAGATAGCTACGGCGTTCCGACTGGCACAGCACGAAGGCGGGTTGTATACGCCTGGCGCAACCAAAGGTGCTGGTTTGCTCCTGGCGCAGTCCCCCCTGAATAGTGCAGCTTTGCATGCTCTCTTATCCTCTGCGGAATCTCAGCCCCCCGTACCACTGCTCACCACAACACGTGCATCTATTGCATCCCTTGCCAGGGCCCTTCAATCGTCCCTCCAGCACACCCTTCTTGCCCCCTTGCACGCATATCTCTCATCCTATGCATCTCTTGCCCTCTGGGCAGCACCGGGTGATCCCAAGTCCATGCGCACGGCCAGTGACTTGCATGTGCCTGTGTTTTCGCTTTCCCCCAGCGAGATCGTGCAACGCGTTGCGGAGGGGCTACTAAATCTCCCGCGGCTCTTTGAAGTGTATGCGGACGACGATGCACTGGGCTTCTCGCTCAACACACTCCCGAATGTTGATGAAGCATATTTGAGTGGTCTCGGCGAACAGATGCATGTGCAGTCACCTGAGCTTGGGCACAATCGACGGGCTTCGCTTGTCTTGCCGCTCAAGCCGGTAGTGCTGAGCCCAGAGGCAGTTGCGGCAGCCTGGCTGTCCTCCCTCGGACATTCTATTCTATCTTATCTTACCAGCAACGTCCTACCGAAGATCCGCACGCTCTCCGTCTCAGGCGCAGCACAGCTCTCATCGGATCTTGGGTATATGTCGAATATCGTTAGGGCACTCAATGTTGAATATGAGGAACTGGATAGGTGGAAAGAGTATGTGGGGATGAACGACGAGGAAGGAAATCGAGTGGTCGGGGAGAAAATACCTGGAGATCAGGTGTTAGTTCTAGTGGCGAAGATGAGAGGGTGGACGTGATGATAGTGATTGCTGAAGGTCTTTTTGTGCATTTTGTTCTAGCCAAACACAGGTTCGACTGAGTACATTATGAATTACGGTGTCATAGGAACCACTGTCTTCCTTCTATTGGGTCTACCTACGGGAGACTAACGCTCGCGAATTCTACGGCTTTTTCTTTTGGTCCGCTGCGAGGAACGTCCTCGGTCGAAATTTCTAGGTCAGGAGAGTGGCTCGAAATGTTTAGGCTTGATATTGCCCGCAGGCAGGTCGTCCGAAATCTCGTCAACATCTATTTGGGAGTTAAAATCGAATTCTCCAGCGATAGAAGGAACAGCTATGTTCGAAAATTGTCTATAGTCAGTCGCAAGTCCTACAGTACGGAAGCATATTCAGTGACGTGACGAAGGCATTCTGGCAACTATACTTCTGGAATCGGGACGATATGCTTCGCGATTGTCGACACCGTAAAGTGAAGAAGAGACGATGCGCCCGCCGCCGTGCAGCAGCTGGGATGATGTCACTAACTTGTAGGGTAAGTACTAGCGCCTTTGCCACAATTTCAAACGGTGCCCTCATCCACCTCCTGTGTAACGAGATGGATATCCTTACAGCTTTATGTGTAACTGCAGTGCCCTCCGGCACCATCCCATCCTCATCAAGCAACACCGACGTCTCTACCTTGGTATCAAGGAACAATCTGACGGCTGAAAGCCTTGGGACAACACTGGCTATTGGTGGTACGCAGAGGGGCTTACCTGGACCTGGAGTGACGCTTTCCATGAGGAACCGCAAAGGATGAGATAGAGGTATGGTCTCTCGTACAGCGTAAATATGTTCCAAATTGATGTGCCATGCTACAAACCCGATATCCTATTTTGCCAAATACTATGCAGTAATAGTCTCCCCTAGCCTGACCAATCGAAGGAAGACAATCGTTCCTTCGTCACTAGTATTAACTACTTATAGACGCAAACAAACGGCGCGCTTCAAGCTTCAAGCTTCAAGAACAAGTTCGAGTTCGCTATGCGCTCGTCATGCATAGTTAATAACTAGTGGTGATATATGGTACAGATCAGCAAGTGCAAAGCAAATAAATACACCAGTGTACTATCGTGCATATGGGTGGAATGAATGCTGTCCGCGACTCGACATTCTCGATGGACCCAGTCCCTGGTTCATTGTCATACGCCCTGCATTCGCATTCGGGGTAACAGCGCCTGTCATGCCCTGCCGCATCCGCATTCCCATGTTGTTCATCCCCATCCCCGCACCTGTGCCCGCGGCGTTCATCATCCCCATCCCTGGCATCCCCATCCGCATGGCGTTCATACCCATACCACCCATTGGATTTATACCGCCCATCATGTTCATCCCCATGGCGTTCATGCCAGCCATACTGCCCATACCACCCACACCGCCCATGCCTCCCATACTATTCAGACCGCCCATGCCTCCCATGCCCATGCCCATCATCATGGGATTCATCATCCCCATGTTCGCCGCTCCCATCATCGGCATTTGACTCATGACACGCTGATAAAGCATGTTCGTGGCTGCAGGGTTAGGCTGTTGTGGGAAGCCCATGGCGGTAGTGTTTGGCGTGCGTGAGTCGGAGTCGTTGAAATAGGGCTCGCGGTTGCCCTGTTGCATGTTTCGCGCTTGATCGCGCTGGCTTCGGGGTTGAGCGGCTTTGACTTCGATCTGTTACAATATTGAGAGGATAATATGTTCAGGAGGCGCATCCATATGTACCTGCTTGTCATCCAACATCAACCCGAGTTTCCCCACGAATTCGTCAGAGTTATTCGAGTCCTCAAAGGTGACGAAGCCAAAGCCTTTGGAACGGCCTGACTCGCGATCGACCATGACTGTCGCATCAACGACCTTCCCAAACCGTGTGAAAAACTCGCGCATCGTGTCTGCGGTGGTAGTGGGCGCGAGACCACCGACGAAGTAACGCGTATTTCTTAGGTGCTCTTCTCGGGGAATCGCGCGTTTTGGGTCAATCTATGGCTGTGTTAGTGGAATTGAAAGGGCTGCACGGCGGAGACACTGACAGCCTTCCCGTCCAAAATATGTTCCCTTCCGGTGACAGCATTTACGCTTTCCGGCTCATCGAAGGTCAAGAAGGCGAAGCCTCTTGAACGCCCGTCTGGGTCGCGCATGATCGTACAGGCATCCACCTTGAACGCTCGTCAGTATCATACCCCGCGCACAGCATTAATCGACAGCTCAAAGCCAAAAATAAATTACCTTGCCAAACTGCGAAAAGTATGTCCTTAGACCTTCTGCTCATGGAAGAACACATAGGGCAGTAGTCAGTAGATAGATTTTGATTCCATTGCATGGATGTATACCATCTGTAGTGTCCCAGTTAAGGCCGCCAATAAACATTTTGCTATCGGAGGTGAAGACCATATGTGTGGCAAGGATCCGTAGGTGACGCAAGGCAAGTAGTAAGAGTAGAGGTGTCGATGGGTCCACGGAAGTATCCAGAAAGATATAAGTGATTAGTGACCAATCATATAGCAAGTAGCCACGAGAGTATGAAAGATAGGCAGCATAGGCGATGCGCAGTGTGTAGGTGCAGATAGTAAGCTCGACTGTAAGCAGTAGTAGCAGTGCAGCGGCATGTACCGTAACTGGTAGGCCCTCGTTCGTTCTTCTCTCATGAAAGAACGACAAGGGTAAACTATTGTGTAGCGGAGACAGAGTCTAGAAGTGCTTCGCCTCCAGGAGAATACAAACGCAAAATAACTATGACATATAGCAAAGCGTGCACTTACCCTTCATCTTTCATTTCTGAAGGTCGTATAGGCCTGTCTGCATGGCTGTCGGTCGGTCCTTCGTGTGTTGCTATTGCCGATGGCCCACCTTGCGCACTTGGATTTGCTGGGAGTGGCAAAGGTGGCTTCTGAATACGCTCCTGGCTCGGTGTCTGCTGGTACACAGAGAACTGCTTTGCAACCTGGGCTGAATACGACAAAGCATAGTCGCTTTTTGAAAGCTGAGGTTTAGCAGGTAGTGATGACGCAGAAGTAGCTGATGTTGAAGTCTCCGTCTTCACAGGTTCAAGATTCTTGTCTGCGTGTGGAGGGGCCTCGGTGGTGGGGGAGGCCTCATCGTCCAGTGGCACAGTGAACTCGTCATCATACAAGTCTGTACAATGTGAGTAGTTGCCCTAGAGCCGATGCCCTGTAATAATGCTCACCTCCGTAGAGGTCGGAATCTGGGTTTTCCTTTGAGTTTGCCATGTCAATGAGCCTTCAAGGATCGGTTAGTTAGTCGAGGGTTTGTCCGTGTGGCTGAGTACTTGTCGTGGTCGCTGTCCAAGGTAAAGAGTTAAAATGCCGAGTCCTGTGCACTTTCTGAGGTAGCATGATGCTCGACCAAACAACCTATAAATAGAGCTCATTTTTTGGAAAATAAAATTTGTTACGAGCTATCACCATAGCCTACATATACGAAAGGTTTGACTAGCCCAATCTCAATGGGAAATACCCCTTGAACACGATCTATACTCTCTCTGCAAGTTGAAACTTATGATAGTACTTAATCTAGGTGAGCGTTAGCAGATAGCTTAGGGGGCAGAATAACCACTTCTGCCGCTTTCCAACATGCTGCGGAAGGACCAAGGTACTAACTCTTGTTTGGATGTGGTCCTGACTCCTGAGCACTCACTGCGACACCTGGGGGTCATGTACGACGAGTATGTATATCAGCGGAACAACCGTGCTCCATAAATGCCTCCTGTCTACAACATGAAATACATAATTCTTTATTCCAACACCGCAAAATCATACTGGTGTACATTCAGTACAATGCCTTGATGAAAGTACATGCGCAGAATTGACTGAAAGTAAGAATAGTTGACGTGACAGAAAAATGACAGGACGTGTACGACAATCAGAAGCGAGAGACCTTGATAAAATAAATAAATAAAAAAGGTTAGATGTGAAAATCGCGAACAGACCATATGATTGCAAAGACGTACGTCTACTGATTGGAGATCTTGAAAGACGTGACCTAAAACGTCGTGCATTAGTACTCATAAAATTACAAGGATGTTGAATGATGACTGTACCTGCTCTTCGTTCATCGCAGCAGTGACAGAGACCACGACACTGTCCCCCTTATCAAAGCCCTCACGAATGTCAATACCAAGCTTTCCTTCGGGAAGCTTGACATCCTCCTTCATCTTTCCATCAGTATCCATGAGACTGAGAAAGCCGTCATCGATACCGACCTACCGTGGGCTTCAGTGACTACAGCAGACAACGATACAAAAGTACACTTACGACCTCGTACTCGGTACGTTTCACGTTGGGAACGTCCATGTTGTGGGTGGAGGGGGAGATATCTTCCTATTAAAGGGGGGTATAAGGAGCCGTAAGTGGCGGCGCTTATGACCGAGTCAATTCCTGATACTTTACCATCTTTTTATCAGTGAAGATCTGTGTGATCGGAAGGTAAAGTAGCAGTTGGCAGGTTTAGTGGAACATGAACGCACGTCGACACCGACGAGATGGACCTTGGCGTGACCGTGTTTCCCAGTCTTAGAGGTGGACATCTCGACGATCTTGCAGGGACGACCTGGAATGGAGGTATCGGGCCGGCAATACAGGGCAGATACAGTTCTGCGCACCTTTTATGTTAACGTGGCCGTTTTTACGGAGCGCAGAACATTGCATAGGGAAGGTGAGCGAAGCACCTGCGCTAGCCTACATATGACGATCATTGCGATCAGTATCTGCCACGATCGTGGGGTGTTATAGAAGAGATGGGCGCACTTGCTCGAACTGCTGGTTGTGTTGCTCATCGTCAGACATGATGGGGGAATAAGAAGTAAAAACAAAAATCTAAGGACGGATAAGAGGAAGATGGCGATGAACGAAAGATTCGCCCTGTAGCAAAAAAGCGATCTAGCTTTCAATCTCCGATGGATGTTTCCCGTTTCTGATCAATGGTGTGTAAGGCAGTCAACTATAGTCAGCATCGGCTCATAAGTAACGACGAACAACTCAGTAATACAACTATCCTTCAAGCTTGCACTAATTTGGGGCTTGAGTTTGATCAGGTACAAGACAATCATTGCTATGCATCCGTTTGGCGGCACACCGATATGTCCTAGATGCAGTAAGGCTGTTTATGCTGCAGAACAGGTGAGCAGCCTCGTTCCGTGCTTCTTGAACTCCTAATGATATCCGACAGGTGATGGGACCTGGCAGGAAGGTGGGCAGATCGTAGTACTCTGCATGTACCATATTATTAATCGACGTAATCAGCTTTATCACAAGGTGAGTTCCCCCACACGCATCGGCACGTGTGATTTACGACAAGTCCGGTCAGCCTTGCCTGGCTTGCACGACGTGCAACAAGAGATTAGACTCGTTTACGCTGCTTGAACACGATCAGGAGGTGAGCCTTGCCTGTGGATATCATTTTATTGTGTAGCTTACCCTTCCCTCCTCAGCCATACTGGTAATCCTCACGAGTCTTCATGTCTTCCAATCATTGACCTGATTTGCAGCAAAACCTGTCACGTTCGAAACTTCGGTACTCGCGACCTGAGACATGCTAATCTCCCCCATCGCGATGATATGCCCTCCTCACCTGCACCATTTCCTGCGTCACCTGTGCGCAACTCCTTCCCTACACCCCCTTTCACGCGCGGTCAATCAGTAGATTTGAGCCAGCGGCAAGGTGCCCCATCCCCGGTGCGTGCGCACAATACTGGCACAGGACGCTATGCGAACGGTGCTATGTCGCCACCGCCCATCCTCAAAGCGAACTCGGTCCTCCCTGCGCGGTACAATCGCTCACCCATCAATCCCATTGCTGAACTTAGCTCTGAAAACACAAATGAACCTATCAACACAAACACGGACTCCGAGGAAGAGATAGAAGAGATGTTGGAAGAATCCACGCCACCTCCTGCCATCACCTTTGCGGGGACGGCTACTAGCACAGTCCGCGTCGGCGATATGCCGCGTACTGTCCCATTGAGTCCGACGAAGTCAGCAAGCAACGGTACTAATGCTACGTCTACCCCGAAGTTTTCCCCTGCAACACTTGGACGCTCCAGTTCATCTTCTATGACTCCGTTGCAGCCGACTGCCACTGGTACACGGTATGGCGCAGCACTTGGTTGCGGCGGTACTCCAGTAAAAGTTTTTGCTATGGGGACCACACCAGCTTGTCCACGGTGTGGGAAGAGCGTTTATTTCGCTGAACAGGTAAATTTTAATGAGCGCCTGATGCGAGTTTGGCTGATGTGTGTGGGATAGATGAAGGCCATAGGAAAGACTTGGCATAAAGGGTGTTTGAGGTGCAAGGAGTGCAATACCTTGTTAGATTCGACTAGATTGACGGAGAAGGACGGAGATCCCCTTTGCCATCGATGCTATTCAAAGGTACGGTCACCCTTTCTTTTCGTGTTTTCCGTGTTTCTTACGCATGAAACGTAGCTGCACGGCCCAGCGGGAAGTGGCTATGCTCTGCTCGGTAAAGCTGGCGGTTAGGCATATATGTCGGCGATTTAGGCTTCAGGACCATCATTCGCTTGCACAATTAGTGTGCTATCAACTTCAATTGGCATATGAATGGACGCTATGTATTTCCCGTTTTTGTTTTCTTGATTTTGACGAACTTTTGTTTCTGATGATGAGATATTACTGTACTACGACTCATCTTGATGATGTATCGATACCTCTCGCTGTCTCCGCTATGTTCTTTTTGCTACACACTTCATAGATTGCCCAATGCTGACACCATATTTGTCGAGCTACCGATAGCCAAACTTCCAGTACTGCCAATTGATGCGTATGCCATACACGACTTGGTGTCTACATTGCGTGTACTCAAAGGATGAGATGAGCGTCATGACATATCATATAGGATGGGAGACCTCTTCGTGACGGACGAGAAAATGATCAATGATGACTTTCGGTATATTCAGGAGAAGCACAGCAGATAAAGAGCCAGAAACGGGTCCAGCCTCTAGGTCGTCTTATAGTTGCGTCAGGGCGTGAGGTCGTCGCTGCGGGAATAGTGACAACAGCAGGTGTGGTGGATGACGTGGAGACAGCAGTATGCGGTTCCGAAAGCGGCTGAGAGTGAGCCACTCCACTAGATTGCTGGGTGAGACCGCTCTGCGGAAGCCGTGAGCTCCCTGCAGCAGCGTTATTGGGCCTCAACGGAATTGGCCTCCGTTTCTCTCTCGCTGAAGCGTTCCTCTATTTGATATTAGGTGGAGTTAAAACTTCTGGAAGGAACCAAAGAACATACGCGTTTTCCCTGTGCACATGGGACGTCGACTAGCTCGTGCCGCGGTGTCACAGAAGGAAGGTTTCGAGCCCAGTTGAGAGGACGGGGTCGGGATGGCGTACCGAAGATATCAGAGCGGTTGCGGTGGAATAACGAGGAAACGCGACCAAGTAGCGTGCTTCCATGCGGTGTCGATGATAGACTGACATGGTAGCGACGTGGGGAGACCTGAGATGGAGGTCAGAAAACATTCAATTTGATACTATGTAAACTAATGACATACATCGTCAAAGAAACCTGGGGGCACACGGCGAGCAGGCTCGAGTCGTCGAACCGGGCGACGTGATGCACCAGCCTAGTAGCATCGGTGTAAATGGAATGATATTTTGAATGAAGACGTCACGTAAAACTCACAGTACTTGGATCCAACAGAAGGTCATCGAGACCGGATTCTCTAACAATTGCAGAAACATCCCATGTATACGCGTTCTTGTCATCGCAGCCAGTTGCTAGTAGCTTCCCATCTGCCGAAAATGATACACAGTTCAGCGGCTCTACGTGCTGGAGGGGCGAACTGATGGGCTGGTCATTCTCGAGATTCCACAATCGCGCTGTCTTGTCGAACGATACACTTGCGAGGATGCGACCATTCGGAGATACTGCAATTCCCCAGACGCCGTTGGTATGCTCATCCAGAACCGCGATCTGCTTCCATGTTATGGTGTTCCATTTCCTAACCGAGTGATCGACTGATCCGGAGATAAGCGTCTTTCCGTCCGGGGTCCAAGCCAGGCAATGTACTGAACTTGTGTGTCCTTCTAGAGTTGCGACCAGCTTGCCTGTCTTGGAATCATATATTTTGATGGGCCCTTCTACTCCACCAGTCGCAATCAAGGTCATGTCTGGCGAGTAGACGACGGTGTGCCCGGCCTTAATCAGTGTGAGGACGATCGCGCCGCTTTCCACTTCCCATTGCCTTGTAGTCCCATCGGCGGATCCGCTTAACACTCGTTGACCATCTTGACTCCAGCAGACAGAAAACACACTGTGATTGTGCCCCGTCCATTTTGCGATGATCTTGCATGTGTCAATGTCCCATAACCTCACTGCACCGTCCTCACTCCCGCTAACCACTTTCTTCCCGTCCGGAGACAAAGCTATAGTGTACACTTCACTTTCTCCGTCCCGCAAGTCTTCTCCTATCTGCTTCCCGCTCTCCAAGTTCCATATCCGCAGCGAGCCGTCGTTTGAGCAAGTGATGATCCGCTCTCCCCCTGGCAGTTGTTTGATGCCCCAGACAACACCGGTGTGTCCTTCAAACTTCTGCCGGGGCCTCATCACTAATGTCTCCTGCGTCCTAGCTGTGGGTGAGGGCATGCTAGACTATCGGGCGCAGCGTAGTCTCAGTTTTCATTCTTCAAAGTCAAAAGTCATGACTTACGAGGATATCTTTCTGAGCAGGATCCGAGGCCACAATACGCGTCTCGGTCGATTCAGAGTGGAGTCTACTGGAATTTTGAGTTGTCTACATGGTATATTTTAAACGCATTACTTATTGTCCTTGTGTTCACTTCACAACAGCTTACAGCATATATGCTATGCAGTTGAAGCGCCAAAGCCTAAGTAGGCTGAGTCGTTTGGCAGTTATATCTGTCTCTGAGGTGCATTCGTCAGTCACAATCTACAACGGATTGACCACATGTGACCCGCCCATGCGGTGATGACCCTGCACCATGACTTCTTACCCCCAGAGCCAGTGATTAGCGCTGAATCGTGTTTCGTTACCATCATCCTCCCCTATCTGTGGGCGACTCCGCATGTCCTATCCTCACATTGAAATGTCCTCTGAGCAGATCATCGGCCAAGTGCGATATGTTAAACGCACTCCCGCCGTGTCTTATCTTCCGACCGGGCGTGATTTCGACCATCTCTCGCCTCTCAATTGTGGATGAGAACTTGGTAGTCATTTGAGGATCTGAAAATAATTTCAACCCCTCAGTTGCCACTTCTGAGTGCATGTTTCTAATTTAAATCACCTGTTCATCACCCATCACCATCTCACTACTTGTTTAGCAGGTGAAATGGACATTTCACCGGCGCGAGTGGTGAGAGGGGCCTCTTTCCGGTTTCATAATGCACGGTACTAGTGACGATCACATCTGAGCTCGAGCTCGGCGAAGAACCTCGGCACATTCGTTCGATCGAGTACTATATCGAGTAGAGTACGAGTATCCCTTGTTTGGATGATTCCAGACTTACTGATGACTCACATAATACAAGGATCTGCCTGAAAATGTACCACAGGAAATTCAACAACCAAGCCACAATGTGCGGCATTTGGTAAGCGGCTATCCTCGTTAAAGCCGGCGGTTAGGCATGTATTCTGGCGATTCAGCACCATCGTTCACTTGCACGATTAGTGCGTGATCAATTTCAATTGGCATATGAATGAACGCTATGTATTTCCCTTTGTTGTTTTCAAACTTTTGTTTCTGATGATGAGATGGCACTGTACCGCCACCCATCTTGATGGTGTACCGATACCTCCCACTGTCCGCTAGTGGTCACTTTCATATATCCTCGGCTATAGACTACCAAATGCCGACACCATCTTTGTCGAGCTACCAATAGCGCTAAGCTAAGCTTCCAGTACTACCAACTGATCATGGATCGTAGATAAGTATGCAATATATTTCCATTGCATGTACTCAAGGAATGAGATGAGCGTCGTGGCATGTAATGAGATGGGAGAGATCTTCCTACGGACGAGAAAATGGTATATTAATGATGACCCTCGGTATATTCAGGAGAAGTACAACAGATAAAGAGCCAGAAACGAGACCAGCGTCCAGGCTGTCTTATCATTGCATCAAGGCGCGAGGTCGTCGAGACTGGGGCTGCGGGAGTAGCACCAACAGCAGGTGTGGTGGACGATGTGGAGACAGCAGTATTTGGATGGGAAGATGGCTGGAGGTTAACTGCTCTACTACAAGACTGCTGGGTGACACCGTTCTGCGGAGGCCGCAAGCTGCCTGCAGTTGATTTGGATGGATTTGGTCTTCGTTTCTCTCTCGCGGAAGCATATCTCTACATGACATCAGGTGGAGTTGAAACTTCTGGAAGGATGAAAGAAACATACGCGTTTGCCCTTCGCATACGGGACGTTGACCACTTCTACGCGACGTCCGTGCAAGTCGATCCCTGCATCATTTACCCTGCGCTGTGTCCGAGAGAGAAGGTTTCGAGCCCAGTGGAAAGGAGGGAGTTGGGATGACGTATCGCGAGCATCGAATTGGGAGCGGTGGAATAACGAAGAAATGCGACCAAGAAGGGTGTTTCCATGGAATGCTGATGACAAACCAACACGGTGGCGACGTGGGGAGACCTGAGATGGAAGTCAGAAAACAATCGATTTGATGCTAACGACGTACGTCGTCGAAAAAACCTGGTGGCACACGACGGGCAGGCTCGAGTCGTCGGTCCGGGCGACGTGTTGCATCAGCCTAAAATGCATAGGGGTAAATGCAATGAGTTTTTCATTAAAAAAGCGTCACGTACATTGAGTACTGACTTGTTGCCCTGGGAGAGCGTGACCAGTTATGATAATGAAATGCAATGAGACATGTCTGTCGATAACAGTACTTGTCAACTCACAGTACTTGGATTTGACAGAAGGTCGTCGAGGCCAGCTTCTCTAACAATCGCAGAAACATCCCATGTGGACACATCGTGGTCCCAGCAGCCAGTGGCTAGTAGTTTTCCATCTGCCGAAAATGACACGCTACTAGTCACTATATCTGCATGCTTGAGGGAACCGATGGGCTGACCGGTTTCGAGGTTCCACAATCGTGCTGTCTTGTCGAACGATGCGCTTGCGAGGATGCGGCCATTTGGAGATAATGCAATTTCATGGATAGCGCCTAGCACAACGATCTCCTCCCAGTTTGTGGTAGTCTGACATGTCCTGATTGAGTGATCGTGAGATCCGGGAATAATTGTCTTTTCGTCTGCTGTCCAAGCTAGGTAGGCACTTCACCAAACCTGCGAATCCTTTGAGAGTTTGGACGAGCTCGCCTGTCTCCGCATCCCAGATTTTGATTAAATGGTCTGAATCATCCTTAAGGTATCCACCAGTCGCAATCATGGCTGAGTATGGCGAATAAATAACTATATACACGTGTGTGTGTCCGGTTTCAATTGGTGCGAGGATGGTCTTTCCGCTTCCTACATCCAATTGCCTTGCTGTCCCATCGGCGGACCCGCTGACAACTCGCTGACCATCGTGACTCCAGGAGACAGACAATAATTGGTCTGTGTGCCCCGTCCATTTAGCGATGACCTTACCTATGTCGACGTCCCACAACCTCGGTGCACCGTCATGACTCCCGCTAATCACTTTCTTCCCGTCCGGAGACAACGCTATGGTGTACACTGCATTTTCACCGTCCCGCCAGTCTTCTCCTATTTGTTTCCCGCTCTCCAAGTTCCATACCCGCAGCGACCCATCGCCTGAACAAGTAATGATCCGCTGTCCGTCGGGCAAGTGTATGACACCCCAGGTAATTTCGGTGTGTCCTTTAAATTTCTGGCACGGCCAGATCGCTGATGACTCCTGTGTGCTAGTGACTGATGAAGAAGACATCCTCCGACTACCGTGCGCACTGTGGCAATCGTCTCAGCATGCATCATGCTCCAAAGTCATCACTTACGAAGAGACGTTTCTCAGCACGGCCCAACACGCCTACACCAGAACACAAAGTACGCCCTGGCCGATTCAGAGTGGAGTCTACTGGAAGTTTGAGTTGTCTACTTGGTACGTATTAAAACATTGTCCTTGTGTTCGCTTCACAGCTTACAGCATATATACTGTGCAGTTGAAGCGCCCAAGCCTCCGAGTCTGAGGACCGTAATAAGATTCGAGCAACATTCGAATGATATTTCAAGGTGATATATAAGCGTTTGAGGAGGTGTGCCGCGTCACTTTCACCTGGTTCGATCTAAAGCCTTTGCCAAACAACCGCCTGCTCAATCTGACCACATTTATCAACACTTGTCATACACTGTCTAGCTGGTATCCCCCAATTTGCATGCGTTCTTTCGCACCATGTTCAACAAACCGAACAATCTTCGAAAATAAGGCTCCGGGGTACTACTCTCCAACTCGACTCGGTCGACACAGTCCGGACTGGGTGCCTTCTTGGATGAAAACCAACAAAGCTCTCATAGCTATGATTGAGTAAGGGCGCCAGTAAGTGACGTATGCCTTCGCTGGAGGCAATGTTGGTTGATCGTTCATCATGTGTACTTCAGTGCTATCGTTTGCTAGACTCATGGTTGATTCAAGACGGCACTCGAGTATCACTTAAACATACAAACATATCGCGACACCCTTGACTCGTCCTGTGCTGTCTAACAGATCCGGGAGTAAATCCGATACGTTTTTCATCTAACTACTTACGGTGCTAGGGACACGCATCCCAATGATTCATCAAACAACGGAGTACACATTCGCAGAACATAGTAACCTAGATCATGTTGATCTTACATCCTTCGACAATCGCAAACGCATATATGACCGATGTCATCCTACGCCGCCTCAGGCTGCGGGTGCAGCCACCCACCTCCACTTCCCTCTGGTGTTATCCGCCGTCGGAGCTACGGTGTCGAACACGAGCTGCAGACGTATCATGATCAGCAAAAGTATGTATAACAAGAAAAGCCATTGACCTCGTTGTTGGCATCGACCTTCAAGTAGTACACCACATTCGAGATCGTGGCTGTCACACTGCCATATCGTCCACGTCGTCAATCTGAGATACGTTTGAATGACGACCTGATACGCACTTTACCCCGGCTGCAGCGACCATGGTCACTTGTGTTCCACAGTTCCAATTGTAAGTGCCGTCTATCCCGACCATCGCCAAAACTGTGTTGTTCTAGAATATAGGTGAGATTCAAATCAGAATGCTCGATCCCGCAGAAAGACTGACAGTCCATCCGAGGTGATTGGTGCCGGTCTTGAGCGACCCCCTCACGCTCGCGTTGGCAGCGGTAGGGTCGTATGTGGTCACCCACTATCGATATGCCTTGTCAGCACCAGGCTCAGAACACTTGCACAATCTGACAGCTGCCTACCGTCTGAGCTCCTGGATCACCTTGGGTGGCCATACAAAGAACGCCTTGGTTCAACGTCAATACGCGGTTTGACCCGACGTTGGAGAGAACACCGGTGCATGTGGCAACGAACTGCGCCATGATGATATTCGATTTGTTGGTTTGATAGGATGAATGAGAGTGAGTTGGTCTTTAAACCTGCGATTGTAACACCCTTTATATGTGGGTCCTCTGCAGGCTCTGCATTCTGCATCACACGCACGCACCCCTGAATGATGTTTAGTTAACCATACTGTACTTTCCACTTGTCGCCTCGCCGCGACGAAGCTGGAACTTCCATCGCAAAAGAAGTTACATGCATTCGTTTTGTTTTTTTTCGTTTCCGAGGAATGGTATGAGATCGGTGGTGTACTAGTCGCCGTCGCGAGAAAAAGAAATCAACTGATCTCGTATGTAACACCTTTTCCAACGGAAGTGCCAGGGAGACATCAATGATGTCTCATAGCCCCGCAGAGCAGTCTCCGCAAGTAAGCGCACATTTACCCGTAGTGGTGCTGGTTGGCCGCTGAGTTCGCACCAAGTACTAAGTCACTGCGCAAAAGATCCTCGAGAGCCCCTCACACTGCTACCGCCAGTCGCTTTTCAATTTTCGGGTCATAATCTACCACTGGTCATTCCAACACTTCAAGTCTGTTAAATCTGGGCCAGTACTGCATCAATCATTGTATGAACTCAGATTTCCAGATATCTCAGCTTGTGCACCAAGAAATCGGCGCTGGTCTCGTAAGGACTGCGTACGTTCATCAACAAATAGGTCCCTCGAATCAATAAAGACTCTGTGCTTGACAGATAAGCGGCGACCCACCCGTATTTTCTGGATCACGGTAGATCTCAGGGGTATGTCATTTTCGAGACTCTGAGGTACCCGTCCGTCTTCGTCGCATCTTCGTACATTACCCCGCGGGGCGCTTGATCGTCGGGGCGGTTACATAACAGCGCTTGAGCGGGGCGGTCCAGCCTATAGTGTAAGTTCTACTCTAATTGTCCACCGTCCACAGAGAATGTATTCTGCATTCTGAATTACAAATCATACTGGCGAAGGGTTGCATAACACAAATGGGCAGATTATGTACCCCCTCCGTCGTGCGTGTGAGCAGTGGATTCTTTGATCACGATGTAACATGGACTGATCTAGATCTAAACGAGCCTCGATCATCTGAAGTGGTGCCTGCCTCGTCCCTCGCTGCTCACACCATCCAATGAACCAATATGCGGTTCAATGGTGCAGATGGCCTCTCCCCCTGGCCCTAATACTACGCGCATGAGGATTGCATGAAGGGGCTGAACGAAATCATGACCCATGTGTGAGTTGGACTTTTATCGGACTTTTACTCCAAGCACTGTGTCAACAATTCTCAACTCGTTTTGCATGTGCGTTACCTCCTCCTGTTTGTCTCATATTCTCGTACACTATGTACTATGTACCATGTTTCTATATTTCAACCACCACTTCGAGAGTCTGTCTTATCCCTTTGCCGTCACTTCTCGTTTCACTTCACTGATGTATCTTCGAGTTTCCAAGAGCGAGCATGAGCGATAGAAATCAAAACAAGGTATCTTGTGCAAAGTAAGCATATTTCCGCACCTCAAAAACTGGATGTCCAATCAACTTCTGTGGACCCACCCCAGACGTGCAAACCCGTCATCATTTATTGCAAGAAGGCGCGAAGAGGGGAAGGCTGAAGGGCAAGATTTATCTTGCAGCCATCGTAAGTTATAGCACTACAGGTGGGTGTGTCAGAACTTCAATATGTTCGATGTCGTGTAGTACTTGCTTCATGCCAAATAGTGGCATAATGCACTAACCCTTGTAAGTGACGGTCCATCGCATTTAGAAGCAAGTGTCTTCAATCAAGTCGGATAAAGTCTTGTTGCTCCAAGTTCGCACTTTCTCTTCGGAACTCTGGTGCTCCGAACTTCAGAACACCGTAGGGCTATGCTCAGTGTCATGCATGTCATGACTTACTTCAGCCAGAGGTTCGAGTTCAAATTGAGATTCGATATCGTCAGGTGCTACGTGGGGGGCAAGGAGTTTGCTCTCGTGAGTAGTACATTTTATGTTGCCTTCAATCTATGAATGACAGGAGGTGCATGGTTCAAAGGAATATCACGCGATCACCTACTTCGATAAGCCAGGCTGCCTGGCATCGCACCTCCCAGAGTTGCTCCAATAACCCAAGTACCATTGGTCTTCATCGGCTCTTGTACTCTGTGTTCACTACAATTCGTATGAGACATAGACTGCACATAACTTGAATGATATACCTGTCTCACCATCGTTGTTCCCAGTTGAAGCTATGACTGACCCTGCTCAAGTGCCATTATGTAACCGCACCGACGATGGAGCGCCCCGCGGGGTAATGTACGAAGATGCGACGAAGACGGACGGGTACCTCAGAGTCTCGAAAATGATATACCCCTGAGATCTACCGTGATCTAGAAGATATGGGTGGGTCGCCGCTGATCTGTCAAGCACAGAGTCTTTATTGATTCGAGGGGCCTATTTGTTGATGAACGTACGCAGTCCTTACGAGACCAGCGCTGATATTTTGGTGCACAAGCTGATATCTGGAAATCCGATTCCATACGATGATTGATGCACTACTGGCCCAGAGTTAACAGACTTGAAATGTCGGAGTGACCAGTAACTGTTCTGTGGGACAATGAGCATTGAGATATCAGCGATGTCTCGGCAGTGACCATCCCACTCGTGGCACTTCCATTAGAAAAGGCATTACATACATTCCTTGATTTCGCTTACGAGGACGGCGTCGCAGGAGTATTTTTTCAGGAGTATTTGTGTCAGAGATCAGTCGGTTTCTTTTTCTCGCGACGGCGACCACTACACCACCGATCTTGTACCGCATTGACGAACATTCCTCGGAAGCGGAAACAAACGAATGCATGTAACTTCTTTTGCAATGGAAGTGTCAGAGCGATGAAGTTCCAACTTCGTCACAGCGAGGTGACGAGTTGAATTACAGGACGTTTCACCAAATATCATTCAGGGGTGCGCGCGCGTGATGCAGAATGCAGAGCCTGCAGAGGACCCACATATAAAGGGTGTTACAATCGCAGGTTTAAAGATCAACTCACTCTCATTCATCCTATCAAACCAACAAATCGAATATCATCATGGCACAGTTCGTTGCCACGTGCACCGGTGTTCTCTCTAACGTAGGGTCAAACCGCGTATTGACGTTGAACCAAGGTGTTCTTTGTATGGCCACCCAAGGTGATCCAGGAGCTCAGACGGTAGGCAGCTGTCAGATTGTGCAAGTGTTCTGAGCCTGGTGCTGACAAGGCATATCGATAGTGGGTGACCACATACGACCCTACCGCTGCCAACGCGAGCGTGAGGGGGTCGCTCAAGACCGGCACCAATCACCTCGGATGGACTGTCAGTCTTTCTGCGGGATCGAGCATTCTAATTTGAATCTCACCTATATTCTAGAACAACACAGTTTTGGCGATGGTCGGGATAGACGGCACTTACAATTGGAACTGTGGAACACAGGTGACCATGGTCGCTGCAGCCGGGGTAAAGTGCGTATCAGGTCGTCATTCAAACGTATCTCAGATTGATGACGTGGACGATATGGCAGTGTGACAGCCACTATCTTGAATGTGGTGTACTACTTGAAGGTCGATGCCAACAACGAGGTCAATGGCTTCACTTGTCATACATACTTTTGCTGATCATGATACGTCTGCAGCTCGTGTTCGACACTGTAGCTCCGGCGGCGGAGAACACCAGAGGGAAGTGGAGGTGGGTGGCTGCACCCGCAGCCTGAGGCGGCGTAGGATGACATTGGTCATATATGCGTTTGCGATTGTCGAAGGATGTAAGATCAACATGATCTAGGTTACTATGTTCTGCGAATGTGTACTCCGTTGTTTGATGAATCATTGAGATGCGTGTCCCTAGCACCGTAAGTAGTTAGATGCAGAACATATTGAGCTTTCTCCCGGATCTGTTAGACAGCAACAAGACGAGTCAAACGTGTCGCGATATGTCTGATGTTTGAGTACCACATACTCGAGTGCTGTCTTGATTACACCGTGAATCTAGGAAACGATAGCACTGAAGTACACATGATGAACGATCAGCCAACATCGCCTCCAGCGAAGGCGTACGTCACTTATTATGCCCTTACTCCATCATCGCTACGAGAGCTTTGCTGGTGTTCATCAAAGAAGGCACCCAGTCTGGACTGTGGCGACTTCCAAGTTGGAGAGTAGTACGCCGCAGCTGAAGACTCGTTTTCGACGATTGTTCGGTCTAGTGAAGATAGTCCAAAAGAAAGCATGCAAACTGGAATACCAGGTAGACAGTGTCGACAAATGTTAATAAAAATGATCGCCGGTAGTGCTGTTGGCAGAAGTCTGCTGGTTGTTTGGCCAAGGCTTTGGTTGAAAGCCTTGGCCAAACAATCGCTCAACGTGGATTTCCTCCCGAACTTTTCATTGTCCGAATTTTCGTACCGTCCTGTATATATTCCAGCGTCCCTAGCTTTTCTTTCGGCACTTTCTTGCGTTAGTCTCTACATGCTTAAGAGGATATGCCCCCCCACCTTCGCGTCCAACGTACGTTCATATATAGATGATTTCATTTACCACCGAACGTGACTTCGACGAAGGTACTATTTCGCATCAGCCGCCGCGGAACCCTCCACTATATTATCAACCGCAACATTGAAGTAGGTGAAAAGGAGAGGGATATCGGACTTTGAGTAGTTTAACGGCTTCGATGATGGTTTTCGTTTTGCTTACCGGGTGGCTGTAAGAGTGTCATTTAGTTTTCAAACAAGCCACCAAGTATGACATGGTCAGACGAGATGTACCCCCTGAACAAGGCATAAGAATAGCTCGCATCTGTATGACATTCAGGCCTTTAAGGACAGGGCCACCATCTATTACAGTCGGATTAATCGGCGAGTGTCGTTTTGCCCAGTTGTGATTGTACATGTCTTCCTTGAACGTACCGCTGTTATTTCGCACCCCGCGACTGTCATGTTCAAGTCTCCCTTGGGGAACCTCATCTGGAGGCTGCAACGGTACATCATGCACTGATGTTCCATCCCGGGAAAACGAAGGCAACAGTACATCTCTCAAATATTATGTGTTCTGTGAAGAATACATCGGTGATCTGGAGAGTAGGTAATGGAGCCATCGGAGTAGGAGTACTTGCGAGGGAGTGCGCAGGTGACTAGTCACGATGTTTCCAAATGAAGAGCTGTTTGATCGGAGCCAATGACCTGTGGTTTCATTATGAGAAGTTCTCGGTCCTGAAATCAAACAGCTGACCACGATCATTGAATAATGCGCAGACCATAAATACAATTCGACAACGGCAGCTCGCTGCAGAATCTTCTTCTGTCTGGACTCGTATTAAGGCTGACTCGCCAGAATGGACAGCTCAAATTCTTCTCGTGTAGAAAGCGAGACTACACCTCTGATCCCTGCAGGGGTCTCGAAAAAGCCTAAAACGCCTCTTCCAAAACTTCAGATAGGTATACTTATGGTACTGCGACTTGTGGAACCTATCGCTTCGATGTCGATATTCCCGTACGTTAATCAGGTATGATTTCACAAAGACACCTCATTTTTCCAGCATCCATTTTTGACGCTGTTTCGCTCTCATCAGCTTATCAAAGAACTTGGCATCACTGGAGGCGACGATGCGGCTGTAGGATATTATGCTGGAATAATTGTAAGTCGTTGGGATTAGTACGGCTTGCGGGAATGAGTCGTGATTCCTTATATTATCGGATATGATTGACAGGAATCTTTATTCTACTTCGCGCAGGCACTGACAGTGCTGAGGTGGAGTCGGTTATCTGACCATATTGGACGCAAGCCAGTGTTATTGGTGGGACTATCAGGAACTTGCATCTCCATGCTATGTTTTGGTCTCTCCACATCGTTCTGGAGCCTCGTCATTAGGTATGTCTTCAGCTGAAACAAAATACGACACTGACATGGTTTTTCTAGCCGCTGTATGTGCGGTATACTAAACGGCAACGTTGGAGTCATGAGGACCATGATGGGTGAATTGACAGACTCTACAAATATGGCTCAGGGATTTGCCTTGATTCCAGTCGTCTGGTGCATTGGAAGTTTCGTTGGGTAAGTGGTACCGTTGACTATCTGGATGGCCAACAATGAAGTCTGCATGTCAGCCCTTTAATAGGCGGAACACTCGCGCGTCCACAAGTTACCTGGCCTGGTTTATTTGCTCATCCATTTTGGAGCAAATACCCATACTTTCTACCTTGTGCAGTGTCTGCCTGTCTTATTGTGCTGGCCTTTTTCATCCTGTTATTTTTTTTAGAAGAAGTAGGTTCTACATACTACCTATCACCACGCAAGTTACTCACAATCAACAGACATTATCGACCAAGCGTCGATCAAAATTGAAATCAATTACCCTAGGCATTTCAAGTGGTGCCGACAGTGACGATCGAGAAGCCCTTGCCCAAAAGTCTATGGCGAACATGCCCTTGCGTTCTCTGCTCACGCCTACTATTATAATTCCAATTGCAAACTACGCTATGATTGCTTTGCTTGACATTTCTTTCATCGTTCTTTTGCCGCTATTCTTTTCGACACCTACCTATCTCGGCGGCCTTGGTTTTACTCCTTCTTATATCGGTTCATGGCTGGCGTTGTTTGCAGTTGTGGATGGTGTCTTCCAGGCACTGTTTTTCGCCAAAATTGTCGATTGGCTTGGTCCAAAGCGTCTCTTCTGTTTGTCAGTGTCGTGCTTTGCCCCAGTCATCCTTTTATTTCCGTTCATGTCATGGCTCGTACACGCAAGGGGGATAGTTGATCATGCAATTACGTTTACCTTGGTTGGCCAACTAATTCTGACAGTTATGTGGGATATGGCATTTGGTGCGTGCTACCGCGAAACCCGTTCTGTCATTGAAACTAAAACGCATTTGATTACAGGGACTGTCTTCATGTTTATCACGGCCTCTGCTCCTGCAAAGAACGTCCTTGGCGCTGTCAATGGTCTCGGCCAAACCTCCGCATGCATGGCTCGTGCCATTGGGCCCTGCCTTAACAACTTCGCTCTTTGCGTTCTCAAAGGAACACAATATCCTCAACGGGAACGCAGTCTATGTCATGTTGATTATGCTGGCTGGTGTATTGAGGTGGCTGGGCTCGCAGTTGCCAGATGAAATACAAAATAGGGATGAGTAAATGTCGAGTGAAGATTAGCATTTCTCCGAGGAGATTCAAGGCACCCAAACTCCGAAACTTCAGCACACCTATATCTTCATACGTTTCGAAAGAGGATATGCCATATCGATGTATCGCAATCGTGAGACCCATGAATGAGTTTGGTGAGAATCGGCTGGACATCATAAGGTCCATCGTGATTCATGCGTCAGGATCACGTCGGCCGTACTTTCATAAGGACTCGACACACAGACACAAGGGAACAAGGAATGTTTCGGTCCAGTCACAATTGAGTCTACTGAAAGTTCGGGTTGTCTTCCTGGTACACTTTTCGGCTTCAATGATGGTTTTCGTTTTGCCTGTACCAGGCGGCTGTAGTGAGTGTTCTTTAGTTTTCAAACAAGCCACTATTATCTGGCCAGACGAGACGTACCCCCTGAACAAGAGTGATCCTTTCGCCAATCATCATGGCAATAGCTTGCATCTCAGGCCCGCGAGGACTGGGTCACCATCTATCATAGTTGGAATAATCAGTGAGTATTGTTTTGGATTGTTCCGTGCGGATGATGTCAAGGTATTGCAAAGAAAACACGTGAGAGATCCACCGTTCTTCGAAGTCCATGTAACTATAATATTTCTAGCGTCCTGACATCCATCATGTTACTAACGGAAGCCCTGTCCTTGACTCGTGCGATGATATTGTGGTCCGAAGCAACCCTCTTGTACTCCCCACCCTGCTGCTGCGCTAGCAAAAATGCGCCAAAAGGCTGTCCCAGACGAACGATCAACTTTAACGCTCGCCACTGAGACTCTAAATCAACCGACTCATCCTCTCCAGGATCGCTGCCGAGCAATTCGTCTGATGGAGACTCGGGCTGCGACCAATCATCCACGCTCTTTTCGTCGTCTGCAATGACAGGCAGCCCGAGATCATGGCGATTCCACGGACGGATGAGTAAGAACGTTCGCAGTCCAAGCCGCAGCTTGTTTTCTGTGGTGATTACCAGGTCTTCAAGCCCGACCGTCTTGACGTCGTAAGTGAAAGATGTCTCCCGGTAAGTGAAAGATGACTCTTGGTCTTGACTGGCATTCCTCCGTCTGAGTCCTGTGACGGGGAATGCGATGCAAGGCAGTTGCAGCCTGCGGTTCCCGCAGTAAGGAATGCGCAGGTCGGAAAGACGGGTATACAGTTTCAAAGCCAGATCTACAACAGCGGGATTTTGCAGTGATGAAGCGGCCGTCTGCATCTGGTCTTCGGATAGAGACGGCAGCGTGCATGTCAGAAGCTTGTACGCGGTAATGTCGGCTGGCAGACAGCTATTGAACTCGGATGATTTTCCGACCCAGTCTAGGGCAGTAATGTCGCCCGACTGAGCCACAATCTCCTGCAAGAGCCGACCAAGCGCATATTGCTTTGTCTCACCATAGATGACAGGTAGGTGGAGGTTGAAGATGCCAAATAATGAATATGCGACATCTTCCTGCAAAGTGGTGACACGGCTCGATGACCATTGGAGTTTCTCGCGCGCGCCTGTCATTCCCGGACGGAATTCGACGAGCGCCCGCGCATCTATGCCTGTCGAGTCCTCCAATTCCTGCATAATAGCAACAGACTTCTTATGGTTGGGAGAGTGGTTGTCGAGGTATAAGGTCCAATCTTTTTGGTAGAAGAGAACGACCTTAGGAGCCAAGAACTCCTGAACGGTCCATCCTCGTGTATTCCAATTGCTGCTCGCCAGTGCGCCCGGTTTTGCTGAAGGCGGAACATCCGACAGGTAGATGATAGTAAGAGCTGACTGGCGATACCAGACAAACATGGAATGGACCGATCGTTGGACCTCGACATTATTATTCTGGTCTATGCAGCACGTGTCGCTCCACGCCCAACTATACCCTGCATCAAGAGCAAGTTTGCAGAATGATTGCAACTTCACCACAGTTCCGACTGGATCCAAATCGTACACGACCTTGTCCTGGATGTCGTGCAGCCGCAGCTCCACAGGTTCCCACCTATGCGATAACATGACCCAACGGAAGTACTTTGTAACTGCTTGTATGATGGGCTCCAGTTGGACGTGCGGATTTTTCACGGATGAGGACAAAAGCTCTTTGTACTCCGTGCTCGCCTTGAAAGTATTTATCTGTATCAGTCTATCGCATAAACGCCCCGTGCTGGTGTTGAGCAGGCGAAGCGGGGCATTGTCCAGGTGAGCGTGAATGGCATTGTGAATACTGTCCTCCACTTCGGATGGACTGACATACTGCTGACGCAGCTCTGGAAAACGAGTCCATCAATTTCACATTGACAGATGAGTGATTTGGAACTTACCGCGTATCTGCGCATCGGGATCATTTTCCAACTTGGAGAGCATGGTTTTGAAGGCCTCGATTGCATCATCGTAGAGTTTTTCCCCGTGAAGCGCTGCATAGTTCAGTTCGTACCCAAGATAACTCGAAGGGTTGAGTTTGATAACCTATACAATGGCAGGATCAGCACGATTACTCGGAAAAAAAATTGTCCACACCATTTCTGCGTCCTGAATGGCCTCCACATAGAGGTTTTGTCCCAACATAGCCTTACTGCGTTGCGCAAAAAGGGAGTCGCATGAGGAATCTAGCTTGATCCCTGCTGAATACAGGTCGATAGCCATAACGTAAGTAACAGCCTCGTCTCCCTTTGAGACACAGCGCTCAGTACAGTCTTTCTTGAAGGCTAAAAAACCCCAGAGTGAGTTTTCAATGATCAATATGCTCAAGATCCTAAAGTACTCGCCGGAAGACCATTCGAGGCAGCTGTCCTTCGCAGCATCATCAATCATGCCCATCATGTATTGAATAGATTCAACCGCTTCTATTACTCGATCTGCGCGGAGGAACGCATCGCACCGTCTTTGGTTGACAGTTTGCCAAAAGGAATCCAAGTCCCAGCCGAAGAGCTATGGGGTGAATACGATCAATCAGCATCAGTGTCCCCTGCACCTTCGTAGTGACATACCACCGTGAATATCTTCAATCTAAGTTCAGAAAACGCCCCGCGAGTGAATAATTCGGCTATGCTGGGAATGATATCATGGAGTAGATCGGCAGCAACGCTGTACCGCCCATCCTCGAAAGCAATTATTGCAAGCTCAACTCGTAGATACCGCTGATGAGCGTGTTCGAGAGTGAGAAAGCTCATGAGATCTAACATAAAGGCTCACGTTGACAACGCTGCACGGAAGCGTATCTGAGTGTTGATACGCGGTGGTGATGCCTTGAACACGCCGCATTGCCTCCTTGTGACAATTGGCATTGAAAAGTGCAACAGCCTGTAAAAATGACATCGAAGTCTTAGTATGACAGACTAACTATGAGACGAGCGACAAGAGTACCTTGATTAATAGTAAAAGATCAATAGTGATTGGATTACGCTCCAAAAATATGGAAGCGAGATCAAAAGCTTCCATCGCGTCCGAGAGCTGTTTGTTGCCACAGAGGGCGATGCCCTTGGAAATGTAGCCCGATAACGAGGGCTGAATAGAAACGGACTTCGTCACCAATTAAAGTCAACGTTGACGGTATCATGATAGGCAAAGCGTCTGACCTTGACTGCATCTTCAAGGGCATTGCCCCACTCGGAGTTTCGCGCCCTTACAACTGAACGATTGGCATAGGACTCGTGGTTGTTCTTATCTGCGCTGATATCTTGGGTCAGCAGGTCTTCAGCGGTATGCAGGTCCCCGGAAATGCATGCATGGCGGGCCGTCGTGTTTATAGTGAGGATCTGCACGAAGCATGTTCACATTCCGTGATCAGTATCGAAGCTAAACAACTCACGTCGAATGATGAATGACTGCTGGATGCTCTAGTTTCCGAGGCATGACTGCTCGTACTGTCATCATAACCGCCAGTGAGTTTGCTGTAATCGCGACTGAGCAGCTTTGTGTCACGACGCTGCACGGTATAGATGAATAGAAAGGTGGAAAAGTGATAGGTAAGAGCGCACCTGTTTAGAAAAACGTTGCCGTCGCTGCACTTCTTCATCTGTCTCCGCCTTGTTTTGTTCAATTATGTCCTTGATGGACCGGGGCCAAATCTTCCCAGTCTCATCTCCGCTCACGAGTAGTTTTCCATTGGGAGAGATTGCGACACAGCGAACCCCCACGGTGTGGTCGAGTGTCGGTCCTAACTGCTTGTGCGTGTTCGTGCTCCATAGCCGCACAGTCTTGTCGTGCGATGAGGTGGCAATGAAGGAACCATCGGAGGATATGGCGAGTGAGTATATAGAGTGGCCGGTGCAAGGATCACCGATCGGGGCTCCATTATATGAATCCCAGAACTTGACTGTTTTGTCGAGGGATGCAGAGAGAAGCTGCTGGCCTTCAGGCGACCAAACAACGCTTCGAACCCATTGTGCGTGAGCGTTGATCTCGAGAAGGAGTTCGGGGTTATCGGTCCGCCAAATCTGAACGGTACGCCACGATCCGGTGGCTAATTTTAGTCCATTTGGACTGAATGCTACACTGCACACCTCATCACGATGAGGAAGTGTTGAGAGGATAGCGCCAGTCTCAGCATTCCATACAACAACCGTTGAATCATCCGACCCACTGGCAAGTCTCTTGCCATCGGGGGAGAAACACACAGACCACACCGTGCGTGTGTGCTTCACTAGCGGATTGAATACTTTCTGCTTGCTCTCGACGTCCCAGATGATGACGGTTTTATCTACTCCACCGCTCGCAATTCGCCTGTCATCTGGCGATACGGCAACTGAACGCACAATGTCCTTGTGTCCAATGAATGGCTCTCCTACTGGCAATGCTCCTTGCTGCACGTCCCAGATCCACAGGGTGCAGTCCCAGGAACCAGTGACGACCCGTCGATTATCTTTGAAGAACGCGACTGCCGACACCACATTCGGGTGCTCTTCCTTCGTCTGCTCTGGCGCCGTTTGTCCTCTCTGCGCAGGTTCCCCGCGCCTTCTCACAGTAAGATACGCAGTTTTTGCCGCATTAAGCATCCTGCGTTGGCCTAGCCAGAGAGATGGACGGTCAGTGATATTTGAAGTTGATGAGGAACGTACTTTTGGGGATATTTGCCTCGTGGGTCTTGGGTGGAAGTAAAGTTGGATCTCTGCGTATATTCAATTCATGTAGGCGCTTGTCCACTGTTTTTGTTGGCCACGTATTAACATGCCGCTACGGTATCTCACGTCGCGCCTTCCATCATCACTGCCCCTCTTGATAAACGCCCATCCAAATATACCAGTAACCCCTGCATTCTGTACACAGGAATACGCTTGCAAGAATATGCATCCCATTCCGTACCACAGCAGCCAGATGTGGTATCTCTTTTGCTCGACTTTTCTTCCATCATCCTTTAGAACGCACCCTGTTTCATCATTGTACCAGATCAAGAAAACCTAAAACTACTGCCAGGCGCGAACCTCTCCACAACCTACAGAGGGTCTCGAGCGGGGAACAACACATGTTACCGGCATGAGCTGATTTTGCCCGCATGATAACGGTCCGTACCTTCCATGGTCGATATCAACGTCACCTGCGCTGGTGCCAGATTGCGTATTGACAATTCCCTCGCAGTCTATATTGTCATACATCAAATACATCGTGACGGTAAGTCAAATTCTCATACATGAACCTGTTCTCTCACAGCCTACAACCTGTGGTACTAATATCTTCTTGGTTGACCATCCTATCCAGGTTATTCGGCCCCAGTACTGTTGGTTCCTGACTTTGGCACGTTCTCACTTATTCTCATCCCTGCCAGTCTCTGCCTATCCCTGCAAATTTTTATGTAAACACAGCCTAAATATACATGCTCATTACAAATTGCTCGCATTTGCAAACCCTTTTTCAGTTTTGGAACTTGGGCAAGGGCATTGACCGGAGTGCATCGCTCGAGCAGCTATCGCAGTATACCAACCTATCGCAGCCCCCCCACGCATATGGTGCTGTGGTGTACTGCATAATCAAGGAACTTACAAGTAGTATCTGATCGTGTAGTGAGTACTATGATAGGCTTATGGGGAGTGTCAACTTGCCATTAACCACCTCAGATCACTCGTTTATCAGAAAATAGTATAATCACTCCAATCAATGTCATTGTCGTATGGTTGCTTCTGGTTTTACATCCTACTGAACGGAGGACTAGTAGCGACGGGTGAAGACATCATCTAAATTTTCAGCTACCGACCGCAGCGCAATCTCAGCTTTCATCCATCAATGTGTAAAGTATCACTTACGAAGAGACGTTTCTCAGCACGACCCGACGCGCATGCAATAGGAAAAAATATGCGTTTTGGTCAATTCAGAGTGGAGTACACTGGAAGTTTGACTTGTCGGGGTACCGTTTACATGCTGTACCCTCATCTCTCTCCACTTCACCGTGACAATTTACAGCATGTTATGATAGGCTGTACAGCTGAAGCGCCCAAGCCTCGTTAGTGATTATGACTCGTATTCTGTCATCCACCCATGTGTCCTGCCAGTCACCCAATACCTGTGCACAACTCTCCAAGTTGCATATTCGCTTCTCTGAGCACGTGATGATCCACTGTCCATCGCGCAAGCGCAAGATGCATGACGGACGAGAAAATGGTAGATCAATGATGACCTTCGGTATAATCAGAAGACGCACAACAAATAAGGAGCCAGAAACGAGTCCATCGTCCAGGCTGTCTTATCGTTGCATTAGGGCGCGAGGCCGTCGACATTGGAGCCGCGGGAGTAGGATCAACAGCAGGCGTGGTGTATGACGCGGAGACGGCAGTATGCGGATGCGAAGATGGCTGGAGGTGAGCTGCTTCACTAGATTGCTGGGTGACACCGCTCTGCGGAGGCCGCGAGCTGCCTGCAGTGGCGTTCGTCGATTTCAATGGAATTGGCCTCCGTTTTTCCCTGGCTGAAGCGTTCCTCTACATAATATCAGGTGGAGTTGAACGACCGAGAAGGAGAAAACCATACGCGTCTGCCTCGTGCGTACGAGACCTCAGGCCTCAACGACTGTTGGGCGACCCTCGCGCAACTCGATGCCTTCACCGCTTCGTCTACGCCGTGTCAAAAGACTTCGAGCCCTGTCAAGAGGTGATGACGGGTACATGTCGTGGACACCGGAGTGAGTGTGGTGGACACCGGAGTGGGTGTGGTGGAATAACAAGAAAAGGCGATCAAGAAGCGCGCGTCCATACGGTGCTGAAGACAGACCACCGCGGTGGCGACGTGCGGAGGAGCGGCGCCGTGGAGTGAACTGCAAACATGGAGGTCAAGAAAAAACTGCATGAGACACTCACGACGTACGTGAGAACGAACTGGTGGATCATCGAAAAAACCTGGGGTTACCTAGTTGGGCATCCTGGCGTCGCTAAACCGGACGTCGTGTAGCATCATCCTAGAACACGCACATATATGTTCGAACACAATGAGATAGATTATAAACGTGCTACCTACATAGAGCAACAACTTCTTATGGTCCATTCTGTTCCTAGACACCGACGAGAAGAAATATATTTTAACTTACCTTTGGATCCGACAGAAGGTCATCGAGACCAGTTTCTCTAACAATCGCAGATACATCCCATATGTGCGTGTTGTGTTGTAGTCCCAGCAGGCTGCAGCCAGTGGCTAGTAGCTTTCCATCTGCCGAAAATGACATACAGGCCACTATATTTGCGTGCTGGAGGGGCGAACCGATGGGCTGGCTGTTGTCGAGGTTCCACAATTGTACTGTACTAGTATTGTTGTACAATGCGCTTACAAGGATTCGGCCATTCGGAGATAATGGAATAGAAAAGACGTGGGTGCATACATCCAGCACTGCAATCTGGTGCCAGGTGGTAGTATTCCATGTCCTAATCGACCGGTCAAATGACCCGGTGGAGACAAGTATCTCGCCATCCCCGGTCCAGACTAGAGAGGGCACTGTATCTGTGTCCTTTGAGTGCGGCAACCAGTTTGCCTGTCTGCGTGTCCCAAATTTTTATCAACTCCGAATTCGTGTAGTCCCAGACACGGTATTGGTCGCGGTTGATCCCACCAGTCGCAATCGTGTGGGCTGTGTCCGGCGAGTAGACGACTGCGTACATGGTGTGCCCGGTCTCAATTGGTTCAAGGATGGTCTCTCCGCTCTCTACATCCCATTGCCTTACAGTCCTGTCAGAGGATCCGCTTAACACTCGCCGACCATGACATCAGAGAACTCGTGAGTTTACCTAGGGTACTTTACGTCGATTACGGCGTTTTACATGACTTTACATGACTTTATATTCCAATATAAAGGAAAGAAGTTCTATATATGACGATATATCGTCATATAAGACTTTATCTGCGGCTCATCAGTTCACTGATGGCCCATCTCGACTCTAGCAGACAGACCGCACAAGCTGTGTATATCCTGTAAATTCTGGCGGAGTATGATCGCTGATGTCTCCTGCGTGGTAGTGACTGGTGAAGACATCCGAGTCCAGGATTTTCGACCAACCACAGCGCCGTCTCAGCATTCATGCATCATAGTTCAAAACATCGCTTATGAAGAAACGTTTCTCAGCACGGCCCAACGCGCACCAAGACACGATGTGCGTTTCGGTCAATTCAGAATGAAGTCCACTGAAAGTGTAGGGTGTCGATGTACGTTTTACATTGTCATCCTCGTGATTACTTCACAGCTGACTGTAAGTAATCGAGACTGTCGTCCCTTAACCGTTACGCCAAAAGGCAGTGATAATGAAAGCTCATGCTTCATTATATCGGACAGTATTTATGCTGATTATGGGAACTCAGGTAAGCCAACGGGCTTACACTGACGCGCCCCAGCCTCGTGAGTCGTATTCTGTCGGTCACAACATTCATTATACAATGGACTGACCGCACACTGTCTATGTCTCGCCACGACCTCACTCGACACAACTTCACGATCCAAGTATCGCAATTCCCCTTTGCCACTTTTTACTGCATGGTCCCATCGTGTTGCTGCAGTGAAAGAATCATCCTGGGATCGACGAACTTATCCGAAGAGTGACCATCATGAATCAGATCACTTCACAATCAGAAGCTACAGCTTTAGGGTATTAATCCTACCTAAATCTACTACATAGACTTGTCGTACAATCAAAAACGTACAACCAACCGGGTATATAAAGGTCAAATTATCAGGTCAAATCAATGATATCATTCTCCGCTACAACAACCGTCCTTGGCTTTCCCTTTGACATTGATTCCAGGCCGGGGCGTTTGCTTTGAATAGAGGATGAACCCCCCTTCTTGGCTTTCTCTCTGGCAAGTAGCAGGGGTGCCTTGACAGAAAGTTTCGTGGGCGGTAATGGTACATCGGAATCACTGGAAATATCAATTATATCGTCAAACTTGTGAATCGGCCGTGTAGATGTTGGTGAACCCGGGCGCCTGGTTAAGCCTGATGCTCGCGGGGATGCCTGTGGCGGCGACTTTCTTGGAGATTTGGTTACGTGATGTTGGAGGGATTCGGAGTCGGACGACTTAGTATGTTTCTTAGAGCCAGTTTGAGAGGACTGCTGAGATATCTGAGCGCGAATAGGACTCGTAGGCTCTATGAAGGGATCGTCAGAGGTGCTGATGAAACCTGACAATGGGAAAGGACGCGGAAGCGAGCACGTTGACCTGCTGTTCCACAACCGCTTTCTTCCGACGGGTTGTTGTCTTCTTCGGAGGTGATGGAAGAGGGAGAGCATCTCCATCGCTATCGCCTTGCGCAATGGGATCATCTTTCTTTTTCCTGTCTGCCCTGTTCGATATATCAATGATATCGTGAAACTTGCGCATTGGCTGTACAAGTGATGATGAACCTATACGCCTGGGCAAGCCTGACGAGCGCGGGGATGTCTGCTGTGGTGATTTTCTCGGAGACTTGGTTATGCAAGGTTGCGTGGAATCTGAATCAGACGATTTGGTGTGTTTCTTAGAACCACTTTGAGAGGGCTGAGATATACGAGCGTGAACAGGATTCTTGGGTTCCGTGAAAGGATCGTCGAAAGCACTGGTTAGATTTGGGATTGGGAAGCCACGAGAAGCGGGCGCGTTGTCTTGTTGTTCCGCCACCGCTTTCTTCTGACGGACAGGTTTCTTCTTCGCAGGGGCTAGAACAGGGAGATCATCTCCATCACTGTCTCCCTGCGCAGCGGAAGCAGCCTTCTTTTTCCCCTCCATCTTGTTCGATCGCTTGGCCTTTCTCTCCAGTTTCTTGCGCTGAATATCCTCGAAGGCTTCGACGAGTTCCGGCTCCACGGTCTCCACCATACATGCTGGCATCCATACACGAAGGTGGCTTTCGGGGTCTGGTGGAGGTTTATTCCCCTTCCCCTTCCCCTTCCCCTTTCCCTTTTGCTTTCCGTCCTCATCCTCATCTTCGCCTTCGGTATCATCGAAAGCAGCATCCACTTCTATTGGGGGCCTGATTCCTTGGACACCATCCTCAGCCATTCGTACGAGCTGCGCAGGCGCGATCTCCAATCGGTACTCAAGAATTCCATCTGTAGATGCGTGCCGTCGTGAAGAGTGAATCTTGACAATTAGCCTGTCTTCGTCTGCTTCGGATTCAGTATCGCTGTACTCTTGCTCCTTCTGGCTGTCCTTGCTTGGGGAGTTAAGCTTCATCGACGAAAAGTACTTCGCAATCATCTTCGAGGGCGTTCCGGGCGCGAGCTTGCCTGTTGTCTTACTCTTTTGGGGGCTCATCGGTAAACCCTTACGCCTCTTCTCGTCCTTTTCCATCGCACCACGCCGCAGGATACGTTGTACGGCACTCGACCACAAAACTGTGCGAAAACGCTTGATGATCACGTCCTTCACACCCCATTCGAAGTACAGTTCGCAAAGTCCAGCAATTTTACCAATGTCGGGCTCTTGTCCCCAAGTGATTTCTCGCGTAGGTTTACCCTCGGTCTCGCTCGTGATAGGATTGGTGTAGGACAGTAGAATCTCGACATCAGGAAAATCATCAGGAATCTTCTTTGCGAGGGCGGGCTTTTTTGATCCGATCAGGCCGCTCTTGTTCGTACGCAGTTCCTCGCGCACGTCGGCGCGCCACGTGACGAGCCATTCCTCTAATTCTTCGCGACTGAGGGAGCCAGCAGCTTCAAGCAGACGGTCTCCAAATCCACAGCGTGCGAGGGCAGCAGCTATGAGCTTACCGCAGCCTTGCACGCCAGCCTGATGGTAGTCTCCGCCGGAGAGGAGGCCGATTAGGATACACCCCCCTCGGGAGAGACAGACATCGCCGTGTGAGACAAGATCAGCAGCGCGATACGTGACGACATGGTTTCCATCATCACGTCCATCAGCGTTCTTCACTGGATGTGCACGGTTTCCAGAAAGCGTATTGCTGGGACTACGAGGGGGTCAGCGTTTGACGGTTTGCTCAGTGTGGGAGAATTTACTTGCGGATGACCATGGTGGCACCAAAGAGAAAGTTGTCAACATCGTCGGAGAGAACGCCATCAATAATTCCAATGCGATTTAGGTACGCAAGTTCAGCTTCAGCTTCGCCAGGAGCCTGTACATCGTAAATATTGTTTCGTCACTACATTTCGCGCACACGCACCGTTCTCCATTCGAATCCAAATGCAGCAATGATGTTTTTCATTCCAGTGGTGAGCCAATGCGCATTTCCGCTCACTTTCTTTCCGCGCTTGACCGAAGGCCTTTTCGGACCATCGAATACGAAGAGTGGGAGAAGAGGCATACTCATGAGTCTGGAACAGCGAAAGAAGAGCGTGCGTAGCTCCGGATTCTCTCCTTCTTTACCGTACGCGGCATGGAAGAACCAAATTGAGGCATCGATGCCTATGCGAAAGCCTCGCCGACCACCAGCATTGGCTTCGAATCCTTGTGTAACAGACAGATGTGTTAATGACTGTGTTTGTCCAGCGGGCCGTAGCACCTAGTAGACCATGACTTAGAGAGAAACTTCATGCCAATCCATGCGACAAACCTCCCAAAGTCCCGCTACACCCATGTCCTGCAATAGTTAGAGGAGAGATCACAAAAAAAGGTATCGCAAGGCCAACGCTGGTTCAGCTGAGCACGCACGTGACCGCGCAAGTCGAAGCAATCAGCTGACGTAAACCGCGTTTCTGCCAACGACGCGACTTATGCTCGGCGCACGCAGCTTGCAGGAGCAGAACACCGGGCTAAGTCATGGATTTTGAGGAAGTAATATAGAGTATATCATATTGCAGTGTACACTCAGATGGCAAGGACTCGAGTCTCGGCAGCATGTAAGAGATGGAACAAGGGAGGAGCTATGTCGAGAAATATAGTTGCGTTCGCAAAGCAAAATGGTATTAGCCCCCCACCACTAAATAATATTGGGAGCAGAAAAGGGCACGCGAGAACTGCGTGAGACGCAGGCGGGTGGACGACAAGCGCAAGCTCCGAGCTCAAGATATGCCCAGACTCATACTTACTCCGAGTGTGTGTGGAAAAAGTATGATTGTGGCATGTCGACGATCTTGAACAAGAATTGTTCTGAGATTAATGGGAGAGGACGAGATGAATACTGCACCATATAATATCAATCCAATACTCTTGCAAATGCGATGATTCTATATCGCATTGCCTGCATCATACTGCAGCGCTGTATGTTAAACGCCGTAGCTGCAGAATATGTCGACGTCCTTCCGTACATGCGAAATAAAAATTCAAGTCTGTACGAGCTGCATCTGAACGAGGTCGCATTTCCGCAGTGCAGAGCGGATTGGTCAGCAAGCTCATTTTGAGCGGAGTCCATAAATGACTAGAGACAGGGTTCGGAGATTCATTTACATCTTGCTCATCTTCCAATTCGTTGCACCCGTCGTCCCGCTCATTCTCTTCTCTTGTTGAGATCTCAGTTTAAAAATGTGGAGGCCTGCCACCCGAGAGGTTACTGGAACAAATGAAGGTCCATCTGTTTTTTTTTGCGACAGAACTTTCAGTCGCTGATAAATGTTCATTCAGTTCCCCTGGGCACTCGCCGTCGTTTTGGACCTGCGCCCGCAGAAGAAACAGCGCGCCCGCAGCTCGCTCAGCCATCTCCCTCTGCCTATCCAAAACAGTCTAATCAAGACCAAGACTCGAGAAGGGGGAGAGAAGAGACTCCCACCAATTCCCCAGGTAAGCCCATCACCCTTGAACACCAACTTCCCAAGTCGTGCTTCCTTGCCAAGCATTTCTCTATAGCAGGTCTTTGTGAGATTTGCTGGCGATCCTAGCAGCTCGTCTGTTGCGATTGCTGTTACAACCTTACTGATCACTAACTGACTGTGTTACTAACCCTGATGCCGTGTGCTTTTCACTTACCTACAGCTGATGCCAATGGTGCCCGCAAACGACGCAGTCGCTGGGGAGAAGCAAAGACAGACATCCCTGGTTTACCGACGGCCATCTCTGCTGCCGGTGTTTCCCAGGCACAGCTCGATAATTATGCAATTCATCTAAGGTTGGAAGAAATTAATCGCAAGCTGCGGTTGAATGATTTTATCCCACCCGAGCGTGAGCGGTAAGTTGATGGTGGTTTAATATTTGCAAGCGAGTATGCTCACTAGCATCAGGTCCCCTTCACCCCCTCCCACGTATGACGGCCACGGTCGCCGTACCAACACTCGTGAGGTTCGCTATCGCAAAAAGCTCGAAGACGAGCGAATTCGCCTTGTCGATCGTGCTATGAAGAATGACCCAAACTTCCGCCCTCCTGTCGAATACCACCAACAAAAACGTTCCCAACGTCCGTCCGAAAAAGTTTATATCCCCGTTAAGGAATTCCCTGAAATCAATTTCTTCGGTCTTCTTGTCGGCCCTCGTGGCAATAGTTTGAAGAAGATGGAGAGGGAAAGTGGTGCCAAAATCAGTATTCGTGGCAAGGGAAGCGTGAAGGAAGGCAAAGCTCGTCCTGACCAGTACGCTGACGATGCAGAAGAAGATCTCCACTGTCTCGTTCTCGCTGATTCTGAAGAGAAAGTTGCAGCATGCGTGAAAATGATCAACAGGGTCATTGAAACGGTGAGATCTTCGATTCATGATTATCGACCTTTTACTGAAGGTTTCTCAGGCTGCCTCCACTCCCGAGGGTCAGAATGACCACAAACGTAATCAGCTTCGCGAGCTTGCGGCATTAAACGGTACCCTTCGTGACGACGAAAATCAGATTTGTCAGAATTGTGGCGGTCTTGGTCACCGAAAATATGACTGTCCAGAACAACGCAACTTCACAGCTAACATCATCTGTCGTGTCTGTGGTAGTGCAGGCCATATGGCGCGCGACTGTACCGTTAACAAGGACCCCAACGCAATCGCTATGGGCAGCCCTCCTCCCATGAACAAGGGAGGGTTCGACTCTGAGTACGCTAGCCTGATGGCGGAGCTTGGCGAGAGTGGCAGAGGTACAGGCGGCGATACTGCCAAGAGCTCGTGGGGTGGCCCCAGTGCCTGGTCATGATATCACTGCAGGCGGGTCCAACATTCCTCCTTGGCGTCGACCAGAGTCCTGGCAATCCAACAATCCTCCACAAAACCAAGGTTACCGCCCACCACAAGCTTACGGTGCCTACGCCGGCACTCCTGGGTACAGCGCGCAGTGGGGCCAGCAAGGCTACCCAGGTTACGGCTCACAGGATTATGCAGCGAACTACGCCCAGTACTACCAACAGCAGTATGCTCAGCAACAGCCCTCTTAATGACGAGTCTATGCCTGTCGGTAAACTCACCTAACAGCCCCATAATTTCCGCCCACTTGACCAAGATTTGTTTCTACATTCACCTCTCACAGCAGCTCGTTCTTCCCTCACTTTCGAGTGAACTCTGGAGTCCAGGAACCGTACTCACTGCAGCTGACATCCAGCATTGTTTAGGATCATTATTGATAGCAGGGTAGCTCTTATTGATTGAATTGATTGTAGCTCACGTTTCCTTGATGAATTTCATCATAACTTTGCAAGCATGATTGTGTGATTTAAGCCTGGACCACACCCGGTGGCAGCACTCGAAGTTACACGCGAGTTTGAACCCTCACAAGGTGAGCTACGCCGAGAAGCTCGCACGTTGTTGCAGGGGTCTGGGTGGCGTGACTTGGACTGCGTTCGCGAGCCGCTGATTCCTGCTCCTTCCAGCTATTATGCACTGCCGGTCGATTCGAAAGAAGCACTGTACCACAGTCACTTTCTCTCGGCCGTGGGTTTCCTGATGCCTCGCGAAAGACCGTGACTACCTTATGATGCGTGTTCCGCAAGTTTTCAATTTTTTGCTACATCCATTGCAGGGAGCGGCCGGCCCGAGTCCTGTCCTTCTGACCATGGGGCTTGATAACAATGAGCACACTTCTAAGTTTTCCCTCTTTTTCTTTCTGACCGCCCTGATTATGAAGATTGCTATCACTGGATGCAACGGACTCGTAGGGAAACGTGTCGTACTTTGGGTGCTGAAGGAAGGGCACACCGTAGTCGGCGCAGACCATGTCGTTGTACAAGGTATCGACTTCTACAACAATCCTGCCTTCTCTTTCCATCAAGTGGACCTGAGGGACTTTGATACGACTTTGAAACTTTTCGAGGGTTGTGATGCAGTCATCCAATTGGCAGCTTTTGCACAGCCAATGGACTACAAGGCTAAGGTGCACAACGAGTAAGACATGTTCCCTTGGTCATAGTCTTGAAGGTCAACTGTCATACGCAGCAACGTCGTTATCTCTTGGAATGTTATGCGTGCAGCTGCTGAGGTGAGTCAGAGAACATACTGCACATAATATAATTTCGACTAAATAATATCAGCTAGGCATAGACCGTGTCGCACTGGCGTCCTCGGTCAACGTCTTGCGTGGGTTTTTTAGCACAGAGCCCATCTTTCACTACTTTCCGATCGACGAGGTTCACCCATGCGAACCTGACGAACCTTATGGGCTTTCCAAATTGTGATTAATTCAATATCTGTATCATTGAGGAAATAATAATAGAGTCTGACTAAATTCTGCCAGAATTGCTGAGATGCAAGCAGATACCATCGTCCGAAGATACCCATCCATGCGAGTTGCAAGCATTCGCATCCACTGCTTTGTTTCTACACGAATGGCACGTGCCCCGGATAGAAAGGATTACTTCCGCGTCAGAGGTGATCTCTGGGGCTACGTCCAGATGGACTCGGCTGCGGACGCCTTCCTGCGTGCAGTGACTGTGGAGAAGGGTCGGTGGACAGGGCACGAGAGCTTTTTCATTGCTGCACCTCGGCTAGCTGTTGATGAGGACTGGCTGGAACTAAAGGAGAAGTACTTCCCAGACGTGCCAATGAAACCTGGCTGGGTCGAGAGCGGCACGAAAGGATTCTACGACTGTAGTAAAGCTGAGCGCCTTCTTGGATGGGTCCACACGGATTATACATAAACACGAACTTCGGTGTAGGAATATATCTGTCATATACTGTGGAACTGTGTCATTAATATTCACGGGTATTGATAGCGTGCGAGGGAGGCTCTGTCGTGATTTGGGAAAACACACTCCCACATTCCACTTGAATCAAACAGCACAGGACGAATACCTGGACCCTAGACCCCTTTTCCCGGCTCTCGTTCCGTTTGAGCTGCTGCAAATGCACTGGCTGCGGGTATACCACAACACTTACCCCATCCTTCGTATGGAAGAATAGACCCAAACAGGAAATGTTGAATGACAGCCTAGGGGGTCCCAAGGACAGAGGCCTAGCTGACTGTGAACCTACTTTACAATGTACAATCCATGATAGAACAAGTAGAAGTAATACAACAAGTAACAGACCCCGATGCCTGAATCATGACATGAAGTACGGAGAGTAATGAGCAACAAAGTGTAGAGAAGAGATACCCAACGTAAAGTATCCCGCCGACGTGGAACTGCAGGCACAATCAAGGCTAGTATGTAGCTGTGAAGTTGCGATAGGCCTCCTGCCCGATCACCCCTTCGATTTCATCCCCAGTCTGTAGGGGTGGCATTTTCTCCCTCTTGAACGTCATAATCTTTTGGAGTCGAGCGCGCCAGTTGGTGATCACCTCCACTTCCTTGGTGTCTCGTTCTGTGCGTTCAAACACAGACGCAAAACAATCCGCCAGTAGACTGAGTTGCCTGACCAGCAAAGGGAGCTGTTCCGCCGATATGAGCTTGAAGCCACCCACAGGTGTAAAGTCGCTCATGCCGGGGGCACGTTGGATAGTGACCTTGAAATACTCGTTTTCGTGGATGTTATTGGAAAAGGCAGCGATTGCGCCAAGGGAATGTGGTTCGATGACAATGTTCACAAACTGGAACTGAGTGGCAAGTGTGTCAAACCGATAGGGAATTCCAGAGTCATTCCACACGATGCGGACGTAGTCATTACCAATATGACGTTTCTTGTCGATGCAGTACTCGTCGTCAGGTTTGGATGGCATCATCGTGGCAGTGTGGTAAAGGACTTGACCTATGTCGTCCCACCATGCATAGGCGTATTCACCGTCTTCGTCTGGGCTGAGGCCACCTGCATACACGTCGACTTGGCCTCGAAGATTGATGAGTCTGCCAATGCCCTCAAGGAACCTTGTATACGCAGGCGACCCATGGGTATTCCGTAGAATGTCAAGTTCATGAGTCTGACCAGGTGCAACGTACATGATTCCCACTTTATGGGTATCAATTACGGGAATCTGATCCAACATCCGGAAGAGAGCTGGAAGTAACGCTGGATCGACCATCCGATGGCTAGCGGGTTGGTTCATCCGATCAGGGTAAGGGGAAAGTTGGAGGGCGAAGAAAGCGGGATCGACAGCAACATGTTTTCGACGTTGAGAGGGACCAGTCTTGCTCCACACATAACCAGTGATTGGATCTGGTACTGGTGGTGCAGCTCCATCATCACCCCCTACGACCATGGTTTGGATCGTGTCCTAGGACGGATAAGTCCATTACTTTGCGAACGAATGTGCCGACTTACACTGCGAGGATCCGTTTCCAGCGATTGTTCAGCGCCTGCATCGGGGCGCTCAGGGCACGGAATATCGCGCTCCATCATCATGCCAGCAGCCACAGAAACCATATCAGGATCAACATCACCGGGACCAACTAAGGGTATATTTTCCAGCTTGCAGAGGAACCTGGTGAGCCCAGAAGGGCGGCGAGATAGGACTTCAATCCAACCAAGGCGAGCCAAAGAGCGGATGGTGACGACAGAGTTACCCAAAAGCCACGTCTTTTCGCTGACGGCGGGATCCGGAGATGTCTGGTTACTAGGATTCATCACAATCTCACTCAGCGTCGAATGAGCGGGTCGTGGATCGGCGCTGGCGTATGTATACCGCGCCAGCCAGTCGAAGCATACCTCAGTGGGTTCGTCGATGTCATCCTTCCCTTCGTTTGCTAATAGCAACTGGCGAGTGATATATGGGATATGTCGAGGACGATGTGGAAGTTTGACTGCCAAGAACCAGACATATACCACGTAGAATGATATCGTTCGAACATGCTGGGACATCGCCCACGACATCGTAGGTGTTGCACCAGGACGATTGTGATGTTGAAGGTATTGCAGGGCAACACCAAACACCATTTTGAAGTCTTCTTCTCGGAGATTAGCATGTAGCGCGCGAATTGAGCCGACGATGGTGAGAAAACTGAGAATGTGGACAGCCATGTCTGGGTTGGACATGATTTGCGACAGCTTCTCCAAGATGGATGGTAGGGACCTCTTTAAGGAAGACAGAAGCTCAAAGGCACATAACGACAACGCTTGCAGGCAGCAGATGATAGTTGTTGGTTGACTATCCAACCCATCTCGAAGCACATCAACAATAGCGTGTCGCAACGGCAAGTCAAAGTGCCGCCGATAGCTGACGAGGACGGTGAGTGTGTGAAATGCCAACCCATGAGCGTCGCGAGGTTTGAGACCGAGAGGCCAGCGGTCAATATTGGATGCTAATTCACCGTTTGCCAATCCCGAACAGAGGGTGGTCAGCAACCTCGCGATCGCCTCGCGACACTTGGGGCCGCAAAATAGGTGTTTGTTTGCGAGTTGGACGGGAAGATGACAGAGTACATAAGAGAGAATTTCCCAATTTCTCTCTTTCTCTACCACGTTGAAGATGGCAGACAAGTAAGAGTCGACGCGTAGGACACCGATAGACTCGGATACTGGATCATATGAGAGAATGCCCTCGCTTGGATTGTCTGGGTCTATGGACGTGAACGGGAGAGATTCGGGAACTTGCCAAAGGGTCTCCCGTGATTTTGCACTGGGCGATGGCGCTGGCAAGGGTGCTCTCGATCGACTGCGGCTGCTTCCCGATTGATTGGGCCTGATCCCCCTTCCACGAGATGCTCGTCTCCCATCGCGCTCTTGAGGACCTCGAGGCGGCGGTTTGCGCACATGGGGGTCATCGTTGTTCAGGTCGCCAGAGCTATTCTTCTCGTCTTCTGACTGCTGCAGCTGTCCACTAAGCGATGACTCTGACACCCGACCGATCAACGATGCCAAGGTCATGATATTTCCATCCGCGTCGTGATGGGCGTCAACGAAATAAAGGCGATGATCCCTGTCGGCACGGATTCGCATGGTGAACTGGAGAATTGTGAGACGAGCGCGGGCGGTTTTTGCTTCGCCAATGAGCTGAACCAGAGTATCGAATATCTGGCCTGCTAAAATGACGTTATGGTGCGACAGCGCGTGAGGAGTGAATGCGAGTTGGCTGAATATCGAAACCAACGACACGATCGCTACAGCTGCACGAGGCAATATTGGCTCTGATGCAGGGGAAGCGACTAATGGCGCGCGGGCATTCTCGTTCTCTTGAGAGTGTTGAGACTGGGAGCGAGAACCCGCAAGGGATGACAGAATTGACATGACTGAGGGCATAGTTGAATCTCTGTCTCTGGCATTCCCGCTACGGTGCTCTGACTGCTTTCGTGAGAGGACAGGAGTTGCGACAGCAGAAGTACTGCTGGAGGAAAATGCAGGTGATGCTGGTATGTCAGACGTGTTGGGAAATCCAGTGCCATCATCATCCTCTTGGACTCCTTCGACAGCAACAGCTGTCAAAAGGTCTATCCATTCCCGTAAAGGTGCAAAGAGGGCCGGTGCCTCGGGCTCTGAAGATGGAACCTCTGATGCTGATGCACTTTGTGCCTCTACTGCGCGAAGGACTACTTCGTCGCCCAGTATCCTCCATGCCACACTGCTGTCGAATGTCAGGTCTTCCTGCGGGTTTTCTGCCCGCATCCGACAAAACTTGAAGACTAGGTCTGCCAGGGATCTCCTGTAGCTGTGCATGTCCTTGAGAGAGTCGTAGACGGATCGTAATGCCTTCATGATTTCCAGCCGCGTTAGCGCTCGGGTAGGAGCAAATAGAGTGGGATTTGAAAGAATGTCCTCCCAGCTCTTCAACCAGTCCGGTGATGCGGGTGACAGATCATGTTGTTCAAACATCATGCTTGGGAGTTTGGCGGTGTCTGCGTCGGTAAGATGGTCCGCAATAAAGAAGAGGGTTGTTGACAGCAACGGAATCATGTAGGTTGAATGGTCTCGGGCTAACAATGATGAAAGCGTGCGTAGGAATGGCGTAGGGGCCTCAGCAGGCTGGCCTAGTGGCAGGATCAGTGGTGCTCCATCCATGGTCCTGCGAAATCAGTTAGGATGTATGCGCCTGCCTGTAGAAAGAACCACAAACTTGATCGGACGAACAAAACCCGCGAGTTGGCGGAGAGTCGCTCCCGCAACGCTCGCCTCTTCATCGTCCATATCGACACCATCCTCCCTCTCATCAAACTCTTGGAAGATATCTCTCATGGTACATGCCGCTTCGTCCATAATCTTATCCTTCTCCATGTCATATTCCTCTACGTTATCGGCTGGAGTAAATCTGACCCAAGCTTCAACCGACTTGCAGAGCAATCTTCCGAGCCGTGTATGGTCCCATCCAGATATATCGTCCTTCGACCATGCTCGCTCCATGAGATCTTTTTCAAGATCCATTTGGCCTGGAGCAGCTGAAGCGGTGTATGAGACCGAAGTCAGTCTGCAAATGTACGCCCGAGCCATTTTTGTGCATAGTCCTTGGCGAATGGTATTTCTCAGTGTTCTGTGCGCGCCTAGAGCGATGATTTTAGCGATATGAAGGTCCCTCCCAGCATCGGTAGGAGGAAGAAGGTGTCGTTTCAGAATTGCCATACACGAACTGCCGTATGGTCCGGAAAACAACACGTTCAAAGATTTTTGAATCCTGTCCTCTAAACTAGCTGGCGTATGGGTGCGACCTGACAATATGGATACACGGGGTAAAGGGGACGCAAAGAAGGCCTGCGCGCGCAAGAGGACAGGAAGAATGAGTGTCAGGAATTTTGGTGCGAGTGCTTTGAGCTGCGAACTAAGGTGATCTAGATAGATTACGACCATCAACTCTGCTGGGTGCTTTCGAGAAGGCAAGTTTGAGTTTGGGGATGAGATTGAGCGAATTGATATGGATGATGGATGACGTTTGTGGGCCCCGATGTTCGATTTTGCAGGTTGGTCGGTATGAGCTGCGAGAGGCGGTGAGGATGCGGGATCGGCAGCAGCATTCAAGGGAGGTACTGTCAACGCCCGACCAAGAAGACCGGCATAGAACTGGAGCACACTAGCGAGGTCACCTTCAGATACACGAGCCGCGGATTCAGGTTGCTCCAATACCGAGGATAGGAAGGAAGCCAAAAGCTCAACATGTCGCTCTCGTTCTGCACGGTCAGTGAAATCGGCAGCATCCCCCGACATGTATGCATCAAAGGCACCTTCCATCCATGTCCTGAGCAGACTGAGCAAGGGGATTTCAATACCAATGACTTCAGTTCCCCCTCTCGTGAGAGCGCGTAGAGCGCGTAGTCGAGGTTCCCCTACATCGGCAGCCCAGACGGTGTGCAAGAATAGCGAGAAATATTGAAGGATATCTGCTGTACCCAGGTGATTGTCAAATCTCTCCCAGAACGTGGCCATGATTTCATATCCTGCTGCCTGCAATGATGAAGGCGAATCATGACTGCACAGTGCAGCCCATACGGGGTTCAGCACGGATGGTTGAGGCAGCGGTGATTGTGATGCTATTAGAGTAGCCAAAGAGCGTGCGTGGGTGAGACTTGGAACTGCAGGAGGAGTCAGCGCCTCAACGAGGGCATCGAAGGTCAACGATTGTATCTGTGGCTGGACGGTGGTAGAGATGATGTCGGCTTTGCGACGCCATGCAAACGGTGCAAAAGCTGTCGTGTTTGATCTTTGTCTGAACCGGGAGTTGGGATCTGCATCCTGTTGACGAGACATGTGCTAGATGATCCTTATGGCTTCCTAGTAAGCCATTGTGCAAAGAGCCTAGGGCTTCGACACAACATACCTTCTACCCCAGATCAAGGTTGGCTGCTTTTAGGAAACGTGTTTTCGGGGCGCGTCGTCTGAACGAGAAGTGATGGTGATTTTATCGTTGAGGCTGCCGATGGAACTGCAAGTGTGAATGTGGAGGAACAAATCTATCATTTGAAATATTATGGACTATGGGATATTCAAGGTATATTTATTGCTACCGCGACGGTTAATCATTACATTACCGACCAAGTTACTTCCTACTCCCGAATAAAGATTCGAAAGCAATCGATGAATCGATCCTGAATAGTGTATCAGTACATACTCACAAAGAGTTGGAGCTTGATTGTAAACTACCTCCTTTTCCTCGATCAACGTGCCTCGGCTCCGTGGTTCGTGTGTGCGAGCTGCGCTAACGTCGTCAGCATTATAGAGACAGTTTATCACGGACATAATGTTCAGCTACCAGAACCACGCCCAGAGAGGCCCCAAATCGCGGCAGCGTGTCTCGATCGTACGTCGTGTTTCCTAAACAGGTGCAAAGTTGTTGGTCAAGAATCGACGAACATGTTCTGCCATTGAGGAACGAGTAAACTCTATAGTCCGTGTCGGCGCAATTGTCCAGTCAATGACGTCGCCATCGAAATGACAACGCATCAGAGCTCAAATGCTATTTGGATTATCGAATGACGCTGGGGATACATTAATGTAGGCAAACGAGTACGAGGCAAGGATATCGAGTGACTCAGCAGTGACGTAGTATTATTATCGTCCTGTGAATGTAAGTGGTATGTGACTTGACAGAAATCCATAAAGGTCATAGCTAAGTGATGATTGCAACAGTCTTGATTCAATCCCGAGAATACTAATTTGAGAACATGCAGAGATCCTATCGCGTGATCGAAGTCGGCAAGGACACTCTCTTTGCGTTGTTCCTTGTCTTTGATAAGGGTGACGATGCATGAGTGGCTGGTTGAATGACAGATTGAATGTTACAGTTGCGAGGGGCAACTTCTCCACATTTGACGTGAGCCCTGCAGTTACGGCAATCATGAATCAGATCGAATCAGATCCGCCACGGTCGAGAACGTACCGCAGACCACAATCGTCACATTCCAAAACCGGTTTCCAGCCAATCCTTTTTGAGCATATATCACATTTCTGCACGAGTAGTCCGCTAGAGAAGATCAGCTCTAAGGGGTTCCATCCTCCATCGGCATGACGTGTCGGGGATACTGATCCGCTGGTACGCTTTGTTCCAGGTCTTAGCAAGGTAAAGCGGTGTAACATAGGAAGAATGCTCATGGATGAGTGGCCTTTCATCGCTGCGGTGGAAAGCTGGATGGATGACTGAGCAGTCTGATAACTCTGCGCGGACAGCATGGAGTCACCGCTCGTTGGAGTATTACTGTTATCAGTCAAGGAGGTGCCTGGCGTAATGGGTTCTGCCGTTCCGTTTGGGTCGAGTGCAGGCCGAATGGTGAGAACAGAGGATAATGATGGTGGGATGACATCTGCGACCGTGGGAGTATGGGCCCCGACAACGGTGGTGCTGTATGCTGACAATGTGCTAGAGTTACTAACCAAGAGAGGTTGGGTGCTATCACCCGAGTGTCCTGAGTGTCAACAAAGGAAACACGTTATCAGAAGTCGTGGGAACTCTATCAATAATCTCACCGTTGGGTACCGTGCTCCAATCACTGTTTGGATCCAGGCTGACGGCCAACCCTTGGATAGCATCCACGAGCTCTTCGTCGCTGCTCTCTTCGCTGCTAGATAGGGCGGAAAGAACATCCTCTTTGACGGAAGCCGTGTTGTGCCTAATGTCCTTCCCAACACCAGCGCCAAAACTCGGGATTCTGGGAGCCGCACCCGGGCGTCTACCTCCTGTCATAAGTTTGATGCTCCCAACATGGAAATCATCCGTGTCTGGACGCGACAAAACCTCCGCTTCGATTTCGCCTAGTCTGTCTAAAATGACGCGAGTGGTGGGCCGCCCCTTTGGATCCTCAGCGAGACAGTCGAACGCAAGAGCAAGGAATGCGGGTGGACAACCAGGGCTAGCCCATCGGTGCACCTCCTCAGCGTCAATCCCAAAGGTTGGGCCAACACGCTTGAAATGGCGGTCATCAGCTAACCTCCGTGCAGCGATCTCGCAGAAGATGATGCCGAGAGAGAAGATGTCAGTCGGTAAATCGAACTCTTCTCCAAGTAGAATTTCGGGTGACATGTAGGAGTCGGTCCCGCAGAAGGTCAAACGTTTGCTTTCCTCTTCATTACGGGCGGCAATTCGAGCGAAACCAAAGTCAGTAATCTTCAACCTGCCGTTTGCGGTGACCAGGAGATTTTCGCCTTTCAAATCACGGTGTATGCACTTGCGGGCATGAAGGTATGCGAGAGCACGGGCAATATCTGTAGCAAAAGAAAGCCGGAGACGCCACGGAAAGGGTTTCGTCTTATCGAATATGTACATTCTGAGATTTCCTAAAGGAACGGCATCAAAGGAAGCAGAAGATAAACCTTTAAATGGACGCACCGTTCTCAATGTACTCCGATATGATGAAGATTCGTCCATCTGGAGGTGGGGCACGTGACAGGCCGAGGTAAAGCACAACATTTGGATGGCGAGCTTCTCTGAAGCGACGCTCAATACCAGGCTGTAGCTAGTAGCACATACTTACTTCATAAGTCTCCATTCCCTCTCAAAATATTTGGCGACGTTGTAACTATTGGATGGCAGGACTTCCTTGATGGCAACATCAATGCCCAGGTATGATCCTGTACGCCTGTTAGCTTGGAGGAGGGTCTGATTGAACAGGATACCTTTATAAACGTTCCCAAAAGAGCCTGATCCTAGCTTCTTCCATTCCCCCTTGATGTCCTTTTGACAAGATCAGTGAATGTAACTTGAGACGATAGGAGCAGCACGTACCTCGAAGGGTATGACGTCAAATGGGTCGGACATGAGTGGATCGTAACTAGATTTGCTGGCCTACAGCTTGAATGAAAGAGATATATGGACAAACTGACAACTACGGTGCAGGAAGCAAGGCCTGCATCATAGGCAAGGCTGACCGTTTGTGAGACTGAACAAGCCCCACGTGGTTCTGTGCAAATGTCAATTAGTCAGCTCTCCATTTTAGGCATTCAAGTTTGAACGTCTGCAGATCTTCCGTCGCTTACCTCGCCAATGTCAATAAGCAGCTTGCAGATTTGAAAGGACACTTGGACCCTGAGGGACTCGGACTTGGCGGGAACTTTTTCAATAAGCTGGGATAAGGTAAAGGTCGACCTTAATATTAATCCGACGGCAGAGAGGTGCGATGGTATGTTAATAGGTTAGCTGAGAACCCGTCTGTTTGGTCTTGTGCTGTTCCGCGGGATTTGCACTACATCGGATTCAGGTCGGTTTAAAATTTAAAGGCTAGGTATATATCTTATGTATGGTTACACAAGCTATCTTCCTCTGAGTATGGTCTGGTTCATTTCCGCAGTAAGATCTGCTTTCATGTGCCTCGCTGTGTCTTCCGGATGTGATGCATGTGATGCTTGACTCGTGTTGTGGCAGGTTGTGGCTTATAAATAAATATGTGGTCGGTGGCGCAGCCGTGCGCTGCTACGATTCATTATCACAACCAAGTTGTTCTTGGAAATTTGAAAGTTGGAACGGCGTCTCGATGGTCTGTGAACTTTTGAACTCTTATCTTTGTCTTATCTCAACTTAAATAAGCGGCTATAGAGGTCACCTGTACAGTTGCGGAAGTATATAATGAAGTACACTGACTTTAAATCGCGGACTCTTTTCATTCTTCGCTGACCATGCAACGTGGAGGTTTGGTCGATTTCTTCACGCCCTCTAGATGGGCTCTCGACCGTGAAGAAACGACTTTCGCGAACAATGGATGGAGCAACAAGGACATGGATCCAGTTCCTCCTCGTCTGAGAACATGGACGTAAGTACGACTGTCACACCATTCAGGTCTGATGATTCACTCGATGATTCTTCGCAGCACCTGGAATTATGTAGGGCATCCCGTGACCATTATTACTACACATTCGCTGATGCCGTTTGTTAGATATCCTATTGGGTTTCTGATGCCACTAATCTCGCAGTTTGGGAGTTAGCTAGCTCCATGCTTGCAATCGGTTTATCTTGGTATGACTGCTTGAACCAGTCCTCCGCCCCGACAACGCTCTGATGCTACGTTAACTACTAGGCGTCAGGCTATGCCGTGCATTGCGGCTGCCTATGCGATTATATCCGTCGTGATGGTTTTGACTGGTACAATAGGCGCTCGTCTCCACGTCGCCTTCCCTGTGTTGAATCGATCATCTTTCGGGTTCTGGTTCAGTTACTTCACTGTTTTCAGTCGCGTCTTGTTATCTATGTTTTGGTTCGGTATACAGGTAATGATTGTGGGAGTGCATTCTATGACAAGGGTGCTTATGCATGCATTTAGACATACAACGGGTCACAATGCGTGTACCAGGTGCATTGAGTGGTATCCTCCTGACCTTTTGTACATATTGACTTGAAATACGCTTCAGATGCTCAAAGCCATTTGGCCTTCGATTGCAAGGATGCCTAATCAACTACCCGTCTCCTCAAATATTACAAGCTCTGGTGCATCATTTCCCTTGCGGCCCTTGTGATATACTTACCCAACCAAATTTTCAGGATTGCTATGTTACTTTCTCTACTGGATCATCCAATTGCCGTTTCTTTTCATTTCTCCTCATAAAATTCGTTGGTTGTTCCTCGCAAAGGGTGTGCTCACACCTATAGCGTGGCTGGGAATGGTCATCTGGGCGTTTGTAAAGGTCCCTGCCTCAGAGGGCTTGTTTTCCGAACATGCAACTATCGGAGGCAGCTACTTCTCATGGGAATGGCTCAGCGCGATGAACAGCGCCTTGGGAATCTATGCCAGCTTATCGGTCAATATTCCGGATTTCACTGTGAGCCAGAAACGTCTGTACATCTGCTGTCCACAATTGCTCACGAAATACTACAGCGCTATGCCAAGAATGAACGAGCGTATGAATTCCAATCCGAGATCCACATTGCTGTCTAATGGGTTTTCAGTCAATATGTCCAACCCTTTGTCATACCCGTCGTGTTTACACTGTGCAGCTTTGTCGGAATTGCTGTGACTAGTGCTGGAATACAGCTTTACGGCGAAGTCCTGTGGAACCCTCTTCTATTAATCGATCGTTGGGAGAATCGGGCCGCAGCCTTTTTCGCCTCCTTCGTATTCGCATTGACAACTATTGGTACTAACATCAGTGCCAATTCACTCGGGGCGGGAAACGATATGACAGTTCTGTGTCCCAAGGTTAGCATCTATATCCTTTCCACAAACAACTGCTCATTTGAAACAGTATATCAACATCAGGCGCGGACAAATAGTGTGTGCCATTATTGGCGGTTGGGCTCTGTGTCCATGGGAGATTCTCGCCAAGTCAGTCTTCGCCCTCTGCATGGTCCGTGGAGTCCTTATCATCATCCGACAGTGCTGCGGGGTTCCTGAATTTCATGGATGGATATACCATTTTCCTAGGCCCCTTTGCTGGTATCATGGTCACCGATGTGAGTGTAACTTACAGCCGTGCCCGCTTGCGTCTGGTCGTTGATTAACCTTTGCGTTACACAGTTTTACCTAGTGCATAAAGGTTGTGTCGATGTCCCCGCTATGTACGACCCTTCAGGACGATATCGCTACACCGCGGGCTTTGTAAGCTTTGATGCTACTCGCAATGTTCCGCCTCATGATATTTTTTGTCTGCTTAGAATTGGCGCGCGGTCTTGGCAATGGTGGTGACAGTTGGGCCCACGCTTCCCGGCCTTATCAACTCGATCAACCCAGCTATCAAGATAGGATATGCGATCCATTTATTCGACATCGCGTGGATGTATGGGGTACGGCATTACTGATCTCCTTCGCATGTATCTTGCTCACCTTTTTTATGCAAGTTTGTGGTCGCATCGCTGGTTTATTACGTTACATCGTACTTCTTCCCTCCTCGCGGCACCTATGTTGATGTCCTAATCTCTGCGGACGACGCCATGCCCATAGACAAGCAGTATGAAAAGGGCATAAAATCTCACACAGAAACCGTGGAGAGTGGCACTGAAGGCGAGGATAAGAAGAGCGTAGATGTGGAGGCCATTGAAATGCAGGTGTAACACATGCGTAATACCTCGCATACCATGTATCTCTCCGCCATCAATGTTGATTGACCGTTGCGAGATTTGACTAGCATTTTTTCGGGCTGGCGATTGTGTAGAATAGTTAGCCCGGCCAAGCTTCACCTAAGAGACCTTGATACGAAGGAATGACTATCTTCCTTCGATCGGTCTGGTTAAGGGAGACTGAGGATGGACTTTGAATGTAAATTCCCAGTTGACGGAAACTTACCCTCGGGAGGTAAAATTCGTCGAATGTCTCCACCGCAGAAGATTCGTATATCCTGTCATTCATATCAGAGGATCCTAGCCGCCCGTCCTTCAAGTTCAACTCCTGCAATATATCTACGTCACCTAGACTTTGAATTTCACCACCAGAGGTCCGTCGGTCTCACCCGTGATCTTAGTACGCTTTGCCATCGTACGATCCACAGCAAGTGCTCGAGCGCAAGCCAAATGTATGGGGACCAAACTGAAGAGAATACCTCAAGGGTTTGTCAATTCAGTCCACCTCATAGCGGGTTATCTCCTTGGCTTCCAGTCCTATTGTCCTTTGTCTAATAATAGGGCAGGTCCCGTGGGATGGAGGTGCGTGGAAGAGCAATGCGCTGCGCCCCTCATCAGATTGGTCGTGACGCGGGACGTCGGAATGACGTTTTGACGGAGATATCGGGCCGGCTGCTCAGATGGGTTTTACCAGTAAATGGGAACGGAGACGAAGCAAGTCTTTTAAGGTCAACATCACCGAATAGGATATGTGGACGAGTGTCAGTCTGGTAAAGGCCAGGTGCATCGACTGTGAGGAAAAGTGAAACAACAATGTATAAGTTGACTACATTCACAAAGGCGACAAGGCCTGACACCATGAGTCTTAGAGTGATGCTGCGTGCGCGAATTGGTGATTCGTTCCGAACTGGTTCTTCGTTGTCTTCTCGGGGCGATCCATCCAAGCGTAAAGGTTTCTCATGCAACTTCGGGATAATTCTGCATCATGCGCCTGAGCTCCGTGTCCGGAATCTTTGCCTCAAACTCAATTGCGCATGGTCGCTTTGACATCTCTCCGTTCATGTACCCCATGTCATACAACGGCTTCGTAGGATCCAGAGCAAGCCGGAAGGCTCAAAGAATAAGGAGCGAGTTGATGAATACCGATCTATATTGGTCGAAGTGAGTTCGGAATATGATGTGCGTGGAAGGATATTTTTGTACCTGTTAGCGACATGTTGGCCGGGGCATGCACTGGTAGGAATGTCATTCAAAGAACCAATAACTGAAAGATGGGGCTTACCGCCGACCAAACCCGTAGACAAAGAATTTTAAATCGTCTCTCAGGCGACCTTGGTCGTCAATCCAACGTTGAGGCTTGAACGCGCTCAGGGTAGACTTCTGGATCTCGAGAGATGGACCTGACGCAATGAACATCAGGTCCTTTGTGACTTGAAGTACGATGCTTACCAATGGTTGCCGAATACTGTAGTCCCAGCTGGAATACAATTAATGTGCATGTGTGTGGATGTTGACATGTGCGCAAGCCACAGAAGGCAGCTCTTCCTCGTCAACCACCATGTCTCTCGGAAAAGATGCTGACGCCTTCAAACGAGTCCTTCATCGTCAGGACTATACTTCATGGCACTCGCAGCCCGCACCACCCAACCCATCTGTTGCATCTACATCTGCATCTGCATCAGTCTCCGCATCCACCTCTGAAGCGACACCAAGCGCTACTAAGAAGAAACGACCGAAGCCGAGCACGTCTCGATCCAGTGCTTGTACCTTTCCAAGTGTTCTGACCCTATTCCTATTCTCTAGATATCGTGTATTCACAACCTGCGGACACTGGAACTGGAACCAATATTAATACACAGCTTGTCTATGCGATAGACCATTTGAAGGTAATACAGTGTTTTTTTGACCATTGAAACTATGCTAACGATGAGCTTGGGATGTACATAGTCGACGCATAATCCCATGCGTCTCCAGGATATAGCGATCGTTACGGACACGCCGCTAGACACTGATATGGTCCTGCTGGAGAAATTCAAATCGCACGATCGGATTTTGTGGGATCCGAAGACTGATCTTTACTCGTATCGCGTGTGTCCCGCTTCACCGACGCAGACCAGAACCGTGCTGACGCATAGCATAGCATGAGTTCAGCTTTCGGAATAAAGTTGCCCTCCTCACAGAAATACAACGGCAGACGCGGAAAGGAGGCGGTATCCCTGTTCGTGCGCTGAAGGAGTCGTGGAAAGAGGCGCCGCAAGCTATTGAGGAACTGGAGAAAGAGGGGGAGGTTCTTGTGACAAGGACGGTGAAGGACGGTCAGTTGCGGATGGTGTTTTGGAACGAGATCAAGCCGGATGACGAGAGTGGGGGGAAGCAAGTCGAGAAAGGTGAGTTCTGGCTATGCTGCCTGGTATAACCCCCCTACTGAATGTTCCCTGTAGAATTTTTCGATCTGTGGCACTCGCTGAAGGTGCCAAACGACGTTGACCTGCTCAAAGCGCTGCATGCTGGCACGTATTTCGAACCCCTCCCTTTCATTTTTTGTCTGACGGAATATACAGAGGGTCTCCAGGCTACCGCAGAAGAAACGCCAATCCCCAAAGCACCGTCAAATAAGAAGAAGGGCAAACGCGCCGCGCCACGACAACGACAAGCCAAGATTACTAACACGCACTTGAAGGGCGAGATTGACCTTTCAAGAGACTACGAGAGGAAATAATCTTTTTCGTATTTATATTTATCTTTCTGGACATCTTCCTTACGTTGTCGGATGGAAGATCGCAGGGGCGGGCACACTTTTGTTCTTATATGGAATTCACGGCGCCGTCTTTCTTGGATATAGCTATCACTTACTGTTGGCGTACGACTCGACCTTGCAGCTGCAGATGCTGGGCGCTAATGTAAGGAGTCACCACTATTTCCTCCCAGTACCTTCGGCTGCATCAACAAACGTACTCCATGTGTATTGCAGCACTCATAACACTGTTCCAATGCCCATGCAGAGCCAAGTAAGGCGATGCATTCGAGGTAAAATGTCAAGGTCCGTGTTTCGTTTCATTTATCTTTCTTTGCATGTCCTCTTCTACTTGCCTACGACTCGCAGCAGCTTTAGAAGCCCTCTTACAACACTCTGGCAAGGTACACAACCCTTTTATTTGATATCGCGTGGATTTTGGGGTACGTTGTCGCTGATCTCCTTCGTGACATGCTCGACGGTGAGATACAAGGGACAAAGAACTCTGTCGTTGATATGAACAATGAGAGGCGCGGCTATGAGCGAAGAAGATCGTGAGGAGTTGCTTGAATGCAAAATTTAATGATGTCTCATGCGGATCGAGTGGTGCAAGGCTCGTGCACGAACAATGAGGTGGGCAGAAGAAGTTGAACCACTGAAGGAAGAGAAGCGAAGGATTTTATTTTTTCCAATGGGAAGCAATGCTATGGGACGAGTTAGACGTCGCTGACTGCAACGGCTATATTGCATATGCCAAACAGCAGGCAGCGCTATGTAGGTGTCTACCCATTTTAATCATCTTTGGTAAGACAACGTACACGCGGACTTGGGTAGCGAGTTTGGACTTACATACCATGGACAGGAGTGCCCAGGCGGGATGGAATATGTGCGCATCTCATTGGGTGCAGAGTACTATAGTGATGGTCACGACAAACTATACATCATAGGATGCATCACAAACGCAGCAGGATAGACAAAATATAAACTAAGCATTACGGCGAGAGTCGGAAAGGTGGCAACATTAATAGAGGAGCCAAGCATCAAGGCAGGGCGAGTGCCAGGATAGTGCGAGAGGTATGCAGCCAGGTGATATATACATCACCTACATGGGGCATTACAAATCCAAAGCCGTTTGCATCGATGATCACACTGTAATTGTAATAAGTAATACCGCGGTTGAAGACAGACGTTCAGCCTCTGATACCAGCCTGCGCGTGCGGCGTTTCATCTTATAGGTTGGAAACCGACCTCCGTAGTACCAATTATAATGTTGACGTGTTGACGATCGAAACGTGTACAGAGTAGCAAGTTTACTGGTGTAACTTTTGTTATACAACACAATACAAGACAACACATCATGCTAGCAAGAACACGTTGTCATCAACTGCATCTACTGGATATCAATAGCGTCGTTCCCCCCAGGCTCAATGACATTGATCTCCGGGAGTGCGCCTCTGAACACGGTGCATGTTTGAACTAAGGTTCGCAGCCAGATCCTTTGAGTGCCTGGGTCGACAGCAAGGAACTCCATCCCCGGCACAGAGCCTGCGGGCTCCATGAAATTAGTGATGCTGACGTTGACCACTGCGGTGGAGTTGTTGTTAAAGACGATAGCTGCTGCCATAGTGGTGCCTGCCCGTGTGTCCAGAATGATTACTATGAACTTGATGTAAAACTTTGAGCGCACCTTTGCAATCGAGTCTTACAGAAAATTGAAATGAGACTTCGATGAGGAGATCAAGATATCTGAAAATTGGGTCAAACAGGAGGAAGTACCACGTCAGATCAAACTCACTCAGATCGATTGAAGGAGCGATGGGGGGCTACAGTCGCGACATCGAGTATTTATACTCGCAGATAGGGACTCTCTTCTAAGCTCAGATCCAAAAGGACAATTATTGCCTGCAAAAACAAAAAAAATAATGCGAAGCAACCAACTCCATGTGGATCCGACGAGCAGATCTGACCTTACGTGCGCCAAGTCCAAATGGCCCGTCTGAACCATATCCTTCCAATAGGGTTTGCGCTTATCTAGGGGTCCAGGTGTGCTTCACAAGCACGTTTCAGTGTTGACAGGTTAGAAGTGAACGAAGCAACTGATTCCTGCTAGAATTAATCCGAACCTATAGAACATTATCGAGCCCCCTCAGAACGGTTGATCCGATTAGAAATTAGCCTGATCTTCCATTACGAGATGCGTCATGAGGCGCATTGAACGGGTGGACCATTCTGGTACTAGTAGCCGTAGACGTAAACCATCAAACTTGATTTCACCGAGGCTCCTGCAGTCACTGTGCCGTACCGACGATGTTACATTCCTCGCAAGCAGAAATGTATTACCTTCTTTTACAATGAAAGCGTCAGGGCACTGCCGGGAAGATCTCTATATCAGAAGACTACTTACTCTTGTCACCTGTGCCGTTCCTCGCAAGCGAAATCAAGGAATGTTTGTAACTCCTGACTATTATGGGTGTACGAATTATTTTGTTGTGTTTACATAATTGTGTATGTCTAATATCAAATACGACCATTTTCTCGTGCTCAAGCCCCATTAATCATTGCCCTCAGCGTGTTTGTCATCGCCGTCTGCGTATGCGTAGATCTAAGCCGGTATACACTAGATCCCTTAGGTTTAGTCCTACTCAATGCGCCCCATCGCATCTTGTAATGGAAGATCGGGCTGCTTTATGATTGGATCAACCGTTCTGAGGGGGCTCGATAATGTTCTATAGGTTCGGTGCTGATCATTCCTCCGAATACAAACCGCGCCAATCCATATGATCAGTATTCTAGCAGGGATCAGTTGCTTCATCCACCTCTAACTTGTCAACACTAAAACATGCTTATGAAGCATACCTGGACCCCTAGATAAGCGCAAACCCTATTGGAAGGATACAGTTTAGATGGGCCATTTTGACTTGGCGCACGTAAGGTCAGATCTGCTCGTCGGATCCACATGGAGTTGGTTGCTTCGCATTATTATTATTTTTTGTTGCAGGCAATAATTGTCCTTTTGGATCTGAGCTTAGAAGAGAGTCCCTATCTGCGAGTATAAATACTCGACGTCGCGACTGCAGTCCCCCATTGCTCCTTCAATCGATTTGAGTGAGTTTGAGATCTGATGTGGTACTTCCTTCTGTCTGACCCTGTTTTCAGATATCTTGACCTCTTCAACGAAGTCTCATCTCAATCTTCCGCAAGACTTAATTGCAAAGGTGCGCTCAAAGGTTGACGTCAAGTTCAAAATAATTATTCTGGACACACATGCAGGTACTACCATGCCAGGAGTTATCATTGCTCACAACGATACCCCAAACGTGATCCATGTCAGCATCACTAATTTCATGGAGCCCGAAGAATCCGTGCCGAGGATGCGCTTCATTCCTATTGAACCAGGCCATCATTGTGTCTGGGTGCGAACCTTACGACAAACATGCACCAAATTCGTGGATGGGCAGCCGCAGACGGTTGTAATCCCTGAGCCAGAGGAGACTTCCATGTTTTGGGTCTAGTGGATGGCAGTCGGTGATGCGTGTGACGGCGTGGGCAGCGTATTCTTGATAGTATGATGTCCTGTGTTGTATAACAAAGTTGGAAATTGGAATCATGAGCGGTATCGCAATGGAACTGGTACTCTTAAGCTGAACATTATATTGGTACTACAATGGGGGTTGAGGTCTCCAACCTAGGAGACGCAACCTTGGACGCACAGGGTTAAATCTTGCAGTATCATTCAAGGAGCAGAGGATAGCGGCCTGCGTTGATTTCATGGTGTAATTCATACCGTCCATCGTGTTCAAGTAAGTACATACGACTCGAAAAATCTGCAATAGCTACAATCCATCAGACATTTCGCAAAGAACACGGATGTTGACATTCCTCCGACTCTTAGCTCCCGTAGTCCTACATTCTAATGAACCCCAGACCCCAATGTCGTCAGGGGCACAACATGGGTAAATACCATAAGCAGGCCCAATCTTGTATTAGTACGCGTTCTACTATCTTTTCAACGCCCCAACACATAACAAGTTTCCACGGGCCGCTAGCCTGAAGAGCTAATAACTATGTACTAAGAGGGAACTTCCGCAGCAACTCGAAGAAACCACACGTTGTCAAGAATCTTATGTTCTCGTACTCTCTGGTTGTGTGGGATGTATTCACGGACAGACTAAGATAGTTCACTCTGAGGAGGCGAGCATGTCCGTCATCTATTTCGGTAAGCTCCGCTCGTACTTTATGTACTACGTACAACTCCGATACTCAGATTCTCCTCTAGTCACTGCGCGAGCCATGTCCACGGATAGGACACTTGCCTCAGATCTCAACACACATTCATCACCGTCGTTCCCGACCAACCAGTATGTGACCCTCGATGTTCTTATACATCCTCTAAAAATCTACGCTTGTCCTTAGTACGGTCTCTTGTCCAACTCACGTTACTACGCAATGAACCTGAAGAACCCTGCGAGGGGAATATTCAAGTCATCGATTGTAATGAGCGCCTCGTGGTATATCCAATTACTCGTAGTGTTCCTGAACCCCAGTTTTCAGCCAATGAATTTGCCGAAGCCCTCACGCTTAGGGAGGCAGAATGGTTACGAGTCTACCTCACGCTGGCATTCGTTCAGACCGTATGTTACATACACGCACACGATGCTCAGCTAAAGTGGAGCTAAAATAATTAGAGCCTCGAGCCACTGGTCAGCTGTTTGCTCCGCACCTCGAGGCTGAAGCTTCCTTTTGACTCAAGGTGCGGGTGTAATATATGATCATTCTCTTCGCATCCCTCTTCCCGAACGGTGACAGTTGGAATGGACTAAGTAATTGACTTCTGAATGAAACGGGGTATTCTCACACTTTCGATAAGTATGTAGGATATGCCCTTCTGATCTCTGACAGTTCGGTATGTTCAGCTGACCTCTTGATGAAAAGGGCCGGAACTGTCGCCTGTAAATTTCGGTAAGACTTTTGGTTCCAGTCGCATTCGCTTCCTCGTTTTGACAGAAAGCTCAGGTAAATGTGTACCCCTGTATCAACGGCAAACGATAATCCCGGCCGATTCAATTTAATCAGTTATGGGAATGACGAGAGTTGCAGTCAGACTCCCAATTGTCTGCCTTGAGTTCATGTCATTGGACATGTAAGTAGACCAATGGGAGGCATTGATTGAAATGCTGGGTCTGAATCGCGGGTAAAAAGGTAGGGCAGTCATGATCACTGGTCTCATCATCCACTCAAACCAGCTCGCATATTTTTTCAATGGCTGGCTATCCTGCAGAAGGTGTCGATTTTTTTATTACCAGGCCCGGGGTAGTAGGGTCTACATTGCGCGTCACTGTCCGTGGAGGCGCAGGTGCTGTTTTCGCACTCCCCATCCAAGTCGATCCTGAGATAGTTGATCCTACGATCACCCACACGACGGTAAGCTGAAGGACTGTATGCTCCTGCTACCTTGAGCGCTCACGCCAAGTGTAGTGGACCGTGAGATATGACGACGGCGGCGACGACGACCCCCAGAGACAGTGCGTCATCACCACATCCGATGATCAAATATCACTGGGGAATACATTCCGCGTGAATGATGGGGTTGTTTATGGAGGTTATGTCAAGTGCTTTGACTCCGACCCTGCCCAAGACCAAGTCTGGACTATCAGACCAGCCGCAGGGGGTTACACGTGAGTAACGATTATCCTTGTTTTAACGTTCATGCTCAAGCTCCAGGGTCGCAGTATCGGCAGGCAGCAAAATGGTGTAGGCCCCGAGTTCACGTGGAACTTCGTCGTAGGAGACAGGGTGCGTGTATATCCCTTGTTCATAAAGTGTCTTTGATTAATCCAGCGTAGGTCGGGGTCAGCATAGATGCTGCACCCCAAGCGTGGCAATTCGTGCCGGTCGAAGAATAAGCATTGGGATACAGAGTCGTGTCGTGTATTCACTTAGTTTCTTGAGATCATGTAGTTTTCCAAACGTTCAATGTTGTACGATAGGTCTATGCAAATGCTGGCGGTGCTGAATTGTTCAGTCGCTTCCCAATAAAAAAGACATGGTCACTTGGTATGACATGCAGCATTCTAGGTCAGTAAGGTCGGTCGTAACTTGAATCGAGCAAATGGAAGTAAAACGTAGTCCGATACCTCCTTCGAGCGCCCTTCTCGCAGACTTCGAGTCTTCCTAACTTATACTCCTTGCCAACTCAAACATGAATCCCTTCCTTGGGTGTAAAGACAGGCGTGATGTATTTCATCAGGCGTACATAAGTAGCACATTATTATTACGAATAAGAGGATAATCGTTGCTAACCGAGACAGATGTGGCACTTTGTTCACATATTGGACAGTAGAAAAAGACTGCCGGCGCCAAGTATTGCAGCAACGCCCACTATCAAAACCGTAGAAGTAGTACCAAGGCTAACTCCGAGGGGACCATCCCAGTTAGAAGGGAGGGACAAGGTAATGGAGGAGGAAGGGACCGTGAAGCCTGCGGATGAGCATGCGACAGCGTATGCTGGTCGAAGTGGTCAGTAAAGCGTGGAGATGGTAGAAGAAAGATGGTACCAGTAAGGGCAGCGGATGAACCAGCACGGGGATCAGTGCTTGTTGCGAACTTGGCGATCAAGTCGTTGAACATGCATTGCTCACAGGATGTGATGGCGGTAACTGTGCTGGATGAGCATGAACAGGAATCAATGGGAGTGCAGTTCTGAGGACGGGGAAAGATTAGATGAAGAAGGGATGGGATGAGGACATACGGCGATTTGGGCGGTTGCGTTGGAGCACGGGATCTGACACTAATAGCTAAAGATTAGCAGAGGGGAGATGAGGGGATAGATGTATGAGCTTACGTCAGTCAAGAGGTATGTGTCGGTGACGTTGAGAAACTGGGTTTCATCGATAATTCCGAGAGAACCGAGGACGATCGATAACGAAAGAGCTACGATGACGTGATGAGGGATGAGGGAGAGAGAGAGTACTAGTAAGACAACTGACCTTGACCAGCAAGCAAGAGAAAGGCAAAGAAAGTACGCATGACTAGCAAAGCGAAGAGGGGACGAGAGATAATCGATAATCTTTGCGGCAGGGCGAGCGGGAAGTGTATCTGATGTCCGCGACTCACGTGATGTTATTGTTGACGCGAAACCACCATGATCTACATGCTATCCTCGCACTCCAAATAAGCGACGCCCTTCTAGCGCTGGGTCTATATGGGAAGAGGTAGAAAAGCGTACAATCTGCTCTGGGATCAAGAATCGCTACTTTAATTCCTAGACTCTCTGTGAATTTCACCGACGTCTTTTTTCATGGGTAAAACTTCTTCTCCAGCATAACTCATCTGAGGATGTGACATCAACTTGTCGCTGAAGAAGGGGTCACGCTGTCAGTCACACGAGTTAGAGACCTGATTGAACTTATAAAAAGTGATGCAGTTCATGTTCACTCTCGCTGTACTACTGCATCGATTTTCTGTACGTCCTCAGGGGATAGGCTCCCCACTGAATCATGCGAGTAATGTGAACCATAATAGTGTAATTGCAACTCACCGCCTCGTGATCAGCGCTGCAGCCATTATGACGAAAGTTGGTACACCACACTGTCACAGACGGTCACTTCCATTGCAAAAGGAGTTACGAACAATCCTTCGCCTCCAAGGAACGTCTGTCGATGAACTTCTGTCGATGAACTAATTGTCCTCAAGTTTAACGGTTTGCATCTGCAGCTTCTGTCAGAATGCTCCAGTGCGACAGACTCTCCTTGCAAGTGAATTGGAGGAATGGTTCGTTAACTTTTTTCAATCGAAGAGCCACGTCGTTGCACAGATAATGGCCGCCGCATTGTAATATAAGATTAGGCTGCTTTCTGATCTGATCTGATCAACTGTTCTGAGGGGCACGATTCCATTTTTCATTTCTCGCATTTGCTCGCCTGCTTTGTCAGGGATGAGCCGTCGTCGGGCGCTTGGATTCTCCATAACCTGCAGAACAGTGAGGGTCAGCGTCATCATAGTGAACGGTGGTGAGCAATTATCTATAGGTTCGGTGCTACTTGTTTCTCCGGATCCAGACTGCCAAATCCACTTGATCTGTGTTTTCTAGTGGGGATCAGTTCCTTCATTTCTCACTATCGAAACTAAAATGTGTTTGTGAAGCACACCTGGGCCACTACATAGATAAGCACAAACCCCATGGAGATATCCATTTGGACTTGACGCACGTAAGGTCAGATCTGCTATTCGGGTCCAACATACTGGGAGCTTGGTTGCTTGTTGCAGGCAATAATTGTTCTTTTGGATCTGAGCTCAGATCTCAGGCTTGTGCGTATAAATAAGCGATATCGCGACTGTAGCTCCCTATCGCTCCTTCATTCGCTCTACATAAGTGAGTCCAAGGTCTGCCAGTGGTGTGGTATTTCCTCCTGTCTGACCAAATTTCCAGATATCTTGACCTCCTCATCGAAATCTCATCGAAATCTTCTGCAATACTCAATTACAAAGGTATGATCAAAGTTTTATGTCGAGTTCATCGTGATCATTCCGGACACATCAGCAGGTACTACTATGTCTGACCAAGGTGAAAGCGAAACCACATCCACGATCACCTCCACCTCCAGCGACGAGGAACGAGCCCCTCTTGTCGGATCCTAATTCGACTTTTAGTGTCTTGGTTTAAAGATAAAATGGAGTTTGAGTCTTTGATATGGGTTCCTGCTACTAGTATGACGTGTTGTGTTGTATAACAAAGTTGCGAATCGGAATCACAAGTGTGACTAGTAGTACTCTTTGATTCATCCCTGAATATTGTTATATCGGTACTACGACGAAGGTCACGGTCTCCAACCTATCACCACTTCATGGCAGGTCGATCCCCCTAGAAATGCAATACCTCCAATGGTGTAAGTTTGCACGCTTTAGTAATTACTAATAAGTACTTACCCTCGAGTTGTGATGCATTAAGCCTATCAGGTCCCTCCTTACTAGCTGGTCTTGCTAGCTGATGCATTTCGTATTATAGTACTAGTCTTGATTCATCTCGCGTGAGGCAGATTAAAAGTTGTGTTGTATAACAAAGCAAATTGGTATCAGGGGAACTCCTTCAAACTTCCTTGTGCATGTAAAAGGCGCACACTGTGTCAGTTGGCGTCCCTTGCCCCACAATATTCTTGACGAAGATGAAAGACTGACGCTCTTCCTCCCATATCGCCATCGGAAGACTGCGGCAATCTCCTGGAACAACTCCGACAGCGAAGATGCCTTGTTGAAGGTGAGATCGGCGGGAATGTATGCACCAGTGACAACGCGAAGCCACATTTGCTCTCCACCGGATGCTGTACCCTTCTCATTAATACGAACTTCAGCAAATATATCCCTCAGGTATTCAGCTCGGGTAAGAGCGCTCGTGGTATTGTCCAAGTAATGGAGGTCGACTGAGGTGAGGACATGTTTCTTCATGTCCTAACCTGGGTCGCGCCCCGTTAATCGCCAAATGCCCTGTCAGTAAATATTGAGTAACAACACACAATGACAGTACTACCATTCGATCATGCTGTCGAGGAGAGTGGTCAGAATCACCACTATCTTGCCCTTCTTCTGTGAACGATCTTCTGCAGAAGTTCCATCAATGAGAAAGCCACCATCATGTGTGATGACGGTATTAGAAGGGCACCACCGTGCAAGATTTTTTGCGCCCCATACGCACGTGTGAAACACGTGAAAGGCATCATGGGGCATGACATTACCAGTGCCACTCACCCGGATGAGGTCACATGGGCCCATGCCCCTCATCTTCAGCGAGTTTCTCTTCGGGGACCTCATAACGATAGAGCAGTGTGCTCCTCAAGGTTGAGCAAGTGCCAAACACGGTGCTCATCCTCTGGGTCACCGAAACAACGGACGTGTCAAGACCGCAATGTTCTGGGTCGAAATGGAAGTAGCGCCCTAGAAACTCAGCGAACAGACGGGAGTTCTGAGTACAGTCAAAGCGATCTGAGACAACAGCTCATGCATTGTCCCAGCGGATAACCGAGCATGCTTGCCCATGATAAAGAGCGCCAAAACGTGCCAGAGAGCGCCTTAGCAGACTTCATTTCTCTCTATGATAGCACCTGGTTCGAGGGACGAGCTGAGAAAGCACCCTAAGTAAAGCACACTCAGCTTGTCTCTCAAACACACAGGGCCGATTTCCCTCGCTGGTACGTTTCATTTGAAGGCAAAGGCATGATCTGGCGGATTGGACGTGTGGGTTTGATAGTCAGACATCCCAGTTAGTCATAGTATGGGAGGTGCAACTGCCTCGGAAGGGACAACAGTGCCACGAAGTCCTGTGGATGCGACATATTGGGAGATTGGGAGGAGGGCAAGGAGTAATTGACGTACGAAAAGAAGAGACTTTTTTTTTCTTTTTTCAAAAATATGCTTGAACGTGCCTTTATACACGCCCGCGATGCACAGTAGACGGCAATTAATAATTGAGACACAAAAGTCGTAGAGGATTTCGATCTTCAAGTCGGGAGGAGTCAGGAAGAAGTTAAACGAGAAAAGAGTGTAACCGATCGTCATCATGCAAGAAAGCAGAAAACCGCGCCCGAAACCATGACCTGTCTAGGGGAGACAGTACTTAGATTAGGTATAAACGTTCGTTCCTGATAAGCAGAGTGAAAACTGACCATTTTGTCCTCAGTTGAATTCACGCTTAGTAGATCCCCTTGTTAAAGACTCTGGCAGCATGTAACCGATACACATGATCCGTCTACATGCCGCAACTAAGTAGATAAGCTGCATTTTGGAACTTCGGATGCCTCGGAATTGATACAATAGAGGAGCAGTCTTATAGTCTCCCTACTGGACAGATCTGTAGACCACTGTGACAGTCATTCGTTCGTTCTTTATTATAAATGAAATCCTAGTGCTGGCAGTAAATTTTTCTACGCACCCGAAATGATATTGGTTTAATATTTTTTGGATCGCAAGTAAGTAACAGCAAGATGCTGGAAGTGACTTCGATCTTAAGAGGAGGGGCTAACTTACTAAGCGCCCGTTCGCGACGCACGTGATTTCATTGTTGACGCGAACGTCGACGTCCAAACATCAACACATCGCATACTTACAATCTAACTGCCATGGCTCCAATAGCATTCAGCGGTACAATACCTTCAAAGAAGAAAGCAGATCTCCAAGCTATAGCCCTCGCTCTCCAGATAAGTGACGCTGGAACTAGGGAAGATCTACAAGGTAGAATCAAGCGTCACCTCGAGAAACACCAATCCAAATACGAAGATGACCCTACCTTCTCGGGTCTGTATGGGAAGAGGAAGAAAAGCGTGCAACCTGCTCTAGGGTCAGTACGATCTATATCATTAGCTTTTTCGTTCTTATCTGCTTTTGGCAGTCGGTTCGTGCCCGGTTCACCAGAAGAATCGGAGAAGAGCCCCCAAGTCACTCGCAGTCGTCGTACCGTCCCAGTTGACCCACGTGAGACAACCCCTGTCGACGATATGCGGAACGTGTCTATGATGCTCAAGAACCCTCCCATCTCCCCTGAAGTCGAGCCTACTCCCTCGCCCGCTAAACCTTCTCCCCAGAAGGAGCAGCATAGACAAGATGATGCTCAACCTGTCGCGTCCGTTCAAAAAACGCGTACAGTCTCTAAACCTATTGCTGATGCTGTCGTGGAGTCTCTCACGAGGCTCCGAATCAGCGTGCAGAAGCGTACTCGGATCACTTTGTTGACTACACGTGCCGTAAGTGTCACTCTCCTATAGAGAATCACATACACTACGACCTTTTGTTTAGGCGCTCTCGGACTCTACCAATATTTGGTTCCTTACTGCTCTCCTCGAGCTACTCTATGTCCTTTACATGGTTATTCCATGGCAGACTGCAGAGGTTAGCTTTCTTAACACTCATACCAGTTCACGCGTTCAACCTCCATCTAGCTAGCCTCAGGCTCATTTCACCTAGCGATCCCCTACCCTCCCGCTCAGACCTTCTTACAACTATCCTTCTGGACCGTCCTATTTCACTGGTCGGCACCCACCATCATCATCCCCCTCGTCTTCGGCCTCCTCGTCTCTTTCCATCCCGCCAATTCTACATCTGTTCGGATCCCCCGAGTCATTGCACTCGATTCGCTTTCAGCTTCTATCGCTCGCCTTGCGGCCCATGTCGTCTACCCCTTCCAGACCCTCGATAAATCTCTCCAAGGTGTAGACGTCATCGGTCAGAGATGGCGCCTCTTGACAGCATCCGTTGTAGTCGCATTCGCATTTGCTGAGGCCATTTTCTCTGCGCCCAGCGCTTTTGCCGAGTCAAGGGCCCGCTTGCGCGCAGGTACTCCTAGGCGTACCATCGCTCCTGAAGACACCCTCGTCTCTGTCGCCGCCGAGTCATGAGTTTTTGCGCGTTTGTGTATGCTATATGACGACCCGTTCATAGATCATGACTAGTGTCCTTTTTTGCTTTGTCCTTGTTTGAGTTGCTGTTTTGTTACCGTTGTATTTATTCTTTACCTATTGACAGTCTATGACCTGGAGTATTTTGTCTCTGTTCCAGCATTGATGCTGGCAATGTTTTACGTCCTGTCTGTACCATTCAATATACCGATATCATCCCGCATCAACCCCCCATCTAGGGGGTGTCTTGCTGAATGTTATGACCGATAATTGAGTATTTTAGAATTTTCAAACTCCACCCGTCGTCCTTACCTTTTGCTCGACAGTCCCGTCATCGTCCTCGTCCTTGTCGAACATGTCTTCCTATAAATCAGCCGCGTTCAGAAACAAACAGCCCTTATCTTCATCGGAATCAAAATTCCATCCTCACGTCCCAACACTCCAAGAACTATTCCCCACTTGGTCAAACGAAGGTGCGTCCTCATTTTTGGATGCGACGTTCCATTAATACTCCATACTTTCAGATCTCCAGTCTTTACTCAATGAAGTTGGAGGTGACCTTGATCTTGCTATATTTCGAATCAGCGAAGGTGTGTTCTTTTTCTTTTTTTTTCTTTTTCTTTCTTTTGCGTTTTGACACATTGGATTTGGTTCTGTAACGACCCATAGGGCACGCGGAACAATGGGGCTCGGTTTACGCGCAAAAAAGACAAAAAGACTCCTGTAGTTCAGCACGCACCATCAAAGGACCCAAGTGTCCTCGCGTAGTGACTCGCGTGGTGGTCGAGGTGGGCGCGGGGGACGCGGTGGTCCCGGAAGAGGCAGTCGTGGTCGTGGTGGCGCTCGGGGTGCACCTCCTGTTAATGGTCATGCTTCCCGTTCCAAAGCTTCAGGTCCCGCTCCAGAAGACAAGCCAGCGCAGGTGGAGGATCTCACTGAGCATGCTGTTGATAAACCAGAGTCGAATGAAGGTTGGAGTGTTGCGCAGGAAGCAAATGAATCGACTGCAGCTTCGACTTGGCCTTCAGAGTCTGCGCCTGCTGAGCCGGCTCCTGCTCAATCACCGCCCTCGAGTTCTACTCCGTGGGGTGGTAATACTAGTTGGGGTACTACTGTGGCTGCTGCGCCTAAACCTCCTATATTATCTGCTAAATTCCCGGCGACTTCTAAACTTTCGTGGGCTCAGATTGCAAAGTATGTATCGGCTATGAACATGGTTCTACATTTGACAGCTGATCGTTGCTTACGCGCAGACCACAAGAGAAGCCAGTTTGCAGCATCGCCTCCCGCACCAGCAGCACCGTCAGTTGTCCCTCCTGCGCCTGAACCGGTTCTTGAACTCCTTCCGTCACTACCAGCTGTTAATGGCGATGCAGAACCAGCATCAGAGGGCTGGGAAGACCCGACAACCGTCCAGCCTCCTGAATGGGACGACGAGCCTCTTTCACTTCAACCCCAAGCCCAATATCAACCTCCTGTAGACGTTTGGGTTTCATCTCACCCTCTGCCAACGTCGGAGCCAGAACCCGTACCGGAGCCTCCCGTCGTACAAGAGGAACCTGTTGCTCCCGCACCCGAGCCTGTGGCCGTTGTCTCGATCTCGGTCTCGGCTCTTCCAGCCCAAATTCAAAAGCAGGATGCGCCGACGAGGTCTAAGTCGCCTGTGTCTCTTTCTTCGCGTCCTGCGGTTCGTGGCAAGTACAAGGGAATAGATCAGGCTGTTGTGATGCCTTCGTCGACTGGTTTTATGCCTGGTCTTGAGAAAATGGGCATGCAGTTTGGAAGTTTGAGTCTTGGTGGAGATGTTATTGAACCTATGCCGTGAGTTGGGATATCAAGAATTGGTATGAAGATAGTTGGCTGATGTGTTTTGGGCAGAGTGGAACCTCCTGTAGCTGAACAGCAACCATCCCCACAGCAGGTCACGCAGTCCCTCCCTCCCCCTGCGCCTCCTGCTCCCGTTCAGCAACAAGAACCTCAACAGAGTACTCCTGTGTCTGTTGCGTCTGTTGCTTCATCTATCGCTACTTCTCCCGCGCAACCTGTTCTCCCTCCTCCACCGGTGCAACCTGTTCTACCTCCTTCGCAAACGGCGCAATTTGTACCTCCCCAACCTGCAGCACCAATCCCGCAAGTACCTCAGCATGCTCTAGCACCTTCGATGTCCCTTCCTACGCTTCCGCCTTCGAGTACTAGCTTTACGCAACAGCCTCCCTCGCAGCCGCAGCATCTGACTCAGGCTCAGCATCAGCACCAACACCAGCCTCAACACCAGCTGCAGCCACAGGCGCAGCACCAACCTCAACACCAACCGCAACACCAACCTCAGCATCAACCCCAGCATCAACCTCAGCAATTGCCACAACCGTATGCTGCGCACTTGCACCTTGACAGCCCACAAACGCAGTCTCAACAGTACAGCCCTGCGCAGCAGGTGCAGGCTCAGTCTGCTGCTTACTTCCGGCAAGATGCACCGTACTTCAATGCGCCGACGCCTCCTCAGCAGCAGGATTACAGTGCATCTATGAGTGCCGGTATGGGTCCATTTGGACAGATCGGGACGCAGCATCAGCAGCACCAAACGCAAGGGAGTCACCTTAGCGGCTTTGGTGGCAGCGAATATTACACTGATAATCAACGCGTTAGTACACCCCCCTGACTTGTTGTAGTTGTGTTCTGATCGGATGTGCAGCAGGGCTTTTATGATTCATATGCGCAGTCTCCAGGGTTTGGAGGCAACCGCAATGTGCTGGGTCATGATGATGTCAAGGGCCTTCCTACCTCTCAACACCAACATCAACATTCGCAACCTCCCTCGTCGGCTATTCCTCCTTCTGCGTCTCAGTCGTCGCAGCCCGCTGCTGCGAATGCACAGCAACCCTATGCGCCGCCCATGCCCTACTTCTATCCGTACCCCCAAAGCCAGTACTATGGCACTCCCTACAATCAAGGTTATCCCACGCCGTTCGTCAAGTACCCTGCTCCTACTCCGCCAGCGATGTTCCAGCACCAACACCAGCCCTCGAAGCAGAATGACGGGTTGAGTATGGGTACGGGCGTACAGCGTGGATTCGGCGGGTATGCCGAAGACATCTCGTACCACCAGCAGCCGCAGCAGCAGACGCAAAAACAACCACCATACGCCCAGTGAGAGGCAGTTGTATGGACACGGGCAAGGATTCTTGGGTCGCGGGGTAGCTGCGCAGAGCGGGTCGCCTGAAGCTGCTTACCGCAAAGATTCAGGACAAGGCGTCGGCGTGCAACAGCAAGCTGCTGGTCGTGGCGTGCGAGGACAGTACCCGCAGGTGCAGGGTAACTCGGAAGGCAATTTCTACCCATACCAACCGAGTCGTCAATATTGGCAGTAGGTGGATGCGCGATAGGCGCGTTCTACCGAGCTTCGATTATCGATTTTTGTGCCTATGTGCTTATTGTGCTTGATACTGATGTGTTATAAGTCTCTGCGAACGCTCATACTCTTTTTTCCTTTTTTGTTACTCTTGATATCACGTTTCTATAGTTTGCATTGCGTGCGTTGCATTGTAGTATGTTCTAGCACCACTTCGTCGTTGTGAATAAGACTGAGGGGGCTCGTTGAGGAGCTCTTCAAGTGATGCTCTGTTCTGTCGTCCTGAGTGAACTGTGATGCGATGCAACAGCTGTCAGATTTGTGGGTATCTCGTTGAGTTGTGTCAGACGTCTCAGAATCGAGGCGCGACTCAAACACAACCAACGATGACCTGAAGGCTGAGAGAAAAGATCTTTGTGAGTACTAATACATCGTTAATGCTAGATAGTACCTGACAGTGAGAGAAAAGACCAGCACGACGTTAGAAAGGAAAAAGGAGGAGTCCGACAAACTTTGATCAAGTACCAATAAGCAAGCAACGAGTCTCGTGACCGAAACACATAACGGTGAGAGTACCTGCGATTTTCTCAGTGTCACACTTGAGAACCATTCTATGTTCATAATTATGAAGGAAGGACTGAATGCACGTAAGATATTTGATGCACTTGAAGTCTGGGAGGGCAACAGAATAATTGGGGAAGTCAAATGTGTAACCAATGTAATCCTGAACATTGCTGAATTCAGTGCCTTTGGTTGGATGCCAAGGGATGTTGATTGGACTAATGTACTCTTTGGCAAAACACAAATCATAATGGTATCAATAGAGGATGTCATTGGAGGTGCCCAGAAAGGGTCTGTCTGGGTCTGGGAAGAACCAATGTTCCCATGTTCCTAGATGTCCTGGGTGGTGTTGGTGACCTCACCCTGGAGACTGGCTGTGGAGGCAGTGCCAAAAGGAAGGTTATGATCCATATAGAAATTATCATGATAACATACCACCAGGTAGCATTTGTGATCTGGAAGGATCAGAATGGTGCAATATGCCCCTTCAACATTGAGAGATGCAGCTTGGGTGCCTGGGGGAGTGGTAGCAACATAAGGGGGAATCCAATGAGTAAGAGTACTCAGAGAGGAATGGAGAGAGGGAGTGTGAGCTTGGCTGCCTGTAATGCGTGAATTCCTCAGTGTCAAGGGGATGCAAGGTCATAAGCTTGTCACAGTAGCAATTGAGACCCAAGGAAGGAAGTGGAGGGTGTGCAGGGGCACAGGAAAAAAGGAGAGGACTGATGAAGTCAGTGACCAGTTGAGCGGTGCCCCAACGGGTTGGGAAATCCTTGGCATCAATCTCATCATTAATGGAATGGCCCATTGAGCCTTTGTATGATAGATTACAACAGACCCAGAATTTCTTGGGGTGACCTGGAGCATCTTCTTTGACTGCAACCTGTAGCAGAGAGGAACAGAAAGGGCCAATCTTTGCTTCTATAGTGCTGCTGTGGTTTGGTCCAGAACCATGGTCCAAACCTGAACTTCCCTGGACCGGACCAGAAGTTCAGTCCAAGGTCCGTGGAAGACCTTGAACTGAACTTCTGGTCAGGTTTGTGGTTCGATCAGTACTGATGAATTGTGAATGGGTTCGGACCAGTCCTGACCGGTCCGAACCGATAAGGTAAAATCAAGGTTTGGTTGGTTACCACATAGTCGGTATGTCAAACACGCGGATACCGCACACTTGGTTCAAGTGTTGCACACACGCTCTCCATTGTCCCGCTCAGTGCTCCCTTCCTCCACCATTGATCCTTGTTGTGCACCTTCATTGCAGTGGGATCAGTCCTGTGATGTCACTGGTATGTACCCCATCTTTCTTATTCTTTCTTTTCCTGTCCAATTTTTCTTATTCTGACATTCAATCTGTCAATGGCTAATATGTTAATTTTCTAGGATATATTCATTTCTGTTGCCTTACATTGTAGGTGCACGGGCCTTCAAGGTCCAAATAAAGTCACCAATAGCACATCTGAGGTGAGTACCTTTTCTCTTCTCTCGCATCTCTCTTCTCTCGCAAAATGACCAACTATGCTGTTGGTGCTGATGGGGCATTGAAGGATGCCTCTGAGATTCAATGGTTCAACAACGCGGATGATGACATGCCAATTACTCCTCCTGCCAAAGACTCACTCACTGTCCTTATGCAAGGTGGAAGGCAGCTGGAGTCTATCAAAGGTGGTACTCGACGGTCTTCTTGCCCTTCCAAGCCCTCTGCTCGTCTTTGAGCGGCTGATAACACTTCAGCTGAGTCATCTTCAGGCACATGCCCACACAAGTGGGCATTATCAAGTGCAGACGATGCACCCATCAAAAAGTTGCCATACAAGGGGCTCCCGAGGAAGATGACTTAGATGACTCATCCGCTGATGATTCAGAGTATACTAATGCTCTCAATAATGAAGCTGAAGAAGCCGAAGAAGCCGACAACACTGAGGAAGTATACCAGAAGACCAAGACACTTGGAGATGCAGACCGTCAGGTATTGTTAAGACCGTGCTCAGGGGTAAAGCGGAGTCTGAGGGGCTTGGCTTCAGCTCATACACTGCGCCCCTTACCCGAGTACGTGCCCCTAATTTTGGGGTGTAGTCTGACACGAGTTCTAGGAGTTCCGACAGGACGTCGGAATGGGGGTCCTCTGAAGGAGGACCGACTGACTACTAGGTGAGCGCGGGAAAGTCGGGTGGGGGTTGTTCCGCCTGACAGGAGGGAGGTGGGAGACTACTGCGGTCGGAACCAACAGTAGAAGCGGAGCGGAAGGAACTGCTTGGACGAAGTCCGAAGCAGAGCGGAAGGAACTGCTTGGATGAAGTCCGAAGCAGAGTGGAACAGAGCGGACGGATGTGAGAGTGCGGGGTCTAGTTCCGACACACGGGGAGTTGGCGGAGCGGAGGGATGGAGGGATGGGGGAACGGGGGAATGGGGGAACAAGGGAATGGGGGAACGGGGGAACAGAGGATTGGAGGAGCGGAGGATCAGAGGATCAGAGGGTGGCTGGCCTAGGGAGTCAATCCCCTAGGCCGGCTAACAGGAGTTGACTAGGATCAGGCCCAAGTCAAAGAACAGAAGAGCAGGGCTTAGAAAAGGTAATATTCAGACTGAGTATCTACAGACAAAGGTACATAGGTTTATATACTCTAAGTAAGGAGCATAGCATAGCAGAAGGCTATGTGCTGAGTGTACAGGATTACAATGGGATGACTGAGACATATGAGAATGAGGCTCGGAGAAAAGTATGTACGCGACGGATCAGACTTGCTAGGGTATAGGGATTACCGGGGATCTGAAAAGCGGAACTATGATACTCAATGGGGATAGGACCAGTTGAGTGGTTCCTAGTCTAGGAGTGGACCGGTGAGGCGGTCGGACGGACTAATGGTTGGGCGGGTCAATACAAGTGGAACTGAAGGATCCGAGCGGGGAGGAAAAGTGGAGGGAGTAGGAGTAGGATCGGGCGGACTGATAGGGCGAAGGAGCGGAACCCCAGATAGGGTCGGATGGAAGGGGTATGGTGTCGGAGGACATAGGGGTAATGTCGGAAAAGCGGAATGGAGTCGGATGGAGGTAGCAGGGCTAATCCTACTGAGATGCACTTCGTGCATTGTCGGGGAAGGAGGAATGAAGCGGACAGGAAAACAGGGGGTTGGGCCAGCAGTGGGAATGCTCATAGGAGGTACTGGGGGTACTCTGATCCGGTATATGACAGGTATGTTCTTTTTAATTTTATTAATCTACAGACACATTTCTAATCTACATTGTTAGGCCCGCCAAACATCATGGAAGACAGATTGCTGTGGGTGAGGAAAATAGACTCTGTGTGAATCAGAAGTCTAACAAGGGTGCAAGGCTTATACTCGTCCCGAGGGGATTGCTACTGGGTAGTGAGTCCTCAAATAAGTGCGAGGAAACAAAGACTAGACTCTGTCTAGCAACCCGAAGGGTTCCGGTCCTTACTAGGACTGGGAACACAAAGATGCGGAGGGTTCCCGACGAGCGGAACTCAGCGCGCGACGAGCGGAACTATGGGGAACTAACGGAACTAACGCGGAGCAAACAGGACAAACGGGGAACAAACGGAACTAATGGGGAACAAATGGAGGGAAAAGAAACTACAAGCCTGCAGGAGGATGATTGGGCAAAGTCGGACCAGGCTTGTGTCTGGTACTTGCTCCAAGTCGTCGGATCCAATGTCGGGCATTTCGAGCGGAACTCACGGGGGTGGGAACAATGCAATGTGATCAGGAATAGATTCGGGAAGATATTTTAAACAGTGAGTGGAGTACTGGGAAGTACTCTGTAAGTGGAAGTGGAGTCGAGTCTATCAGAAGGTAAAAAACTAAGATCCCATCTATTGCTACCTATATAGGAAGGGGTTCCAAAATGCGATATGCTACAACCGGGTGAGGCTGTGAGATAAGGAATCGGTCCCGAGTAGTGGAAGGATCCATATAAGTACTGTAACACATGGGAAGTGAGATAGGAACATGTTAGTGACACGGGGAACATAGCTAGTACTCACCAGCGAGGATGGAAGGACATGGACAGGATGGAGGAGGATGTTCCGAAGGCTGAAGGAATATAATGCGTGTGGTACACGATTGTTCCACTGGGTTCTGCTGGGTTCTGCTTGGTTCTGTGTAGCAGACGGGTTGGGGAAGATGCGGATGGGTAGTGGAACGTGCGGGAAAATGGTGGGAAGGCATGGGAAATATGCGGGATACGGGCCTACAGTGGGGACGTTCCCCACATCGCACAGCTGATCTCTGGACCATTTTCACAGAAGAGAAAGGGCGTCTTAACCCAGACACTGGGACACCTGAGGATGGCTGGTGGTGCAATATTTGCAAGTATGTACATTTCTGCATCGTAAAATCTGCCTTGCTGACTTGTACCTTAGGGATGCAGGGCTGCCTGCTCATCAATCGTTTTTCAAAGGTAGCATTTCTACGTGCCATACACACATTTCAAGGTGAGTATCCTCACTACCTGCAATTGCTGACTAACCCAACAATATAACAGGAATCTGAAGTGTCATTTCCCCATGTACAAGAGCTGATGTGAGGCACAAGATATCGCGCTGAATGACATGACATTTAGCTTGGTTAGTTCACTGTGGACAACACCACAAACAATGATACTGCTATCCAAGCAGTCGCAGATGAGATTGATCCATCCGGTGAACAATAGAATGCAGATCAGCATTGTGTGCGGTAAGTATTCATTTTTTAAAATAGATACTTATGTCTATCTAGTTGTATGGAGCATGCCCTTCATTTAGCAGCAAAGCATTTTGTTGAAGCAGTTGGCCCTACAGGTAACGACACTGATGAAGAGCACAATGACAAATATGAAGTAGCGGATACTGTTGGCAAAGCACTTGCACTCATTATGCAGGTAAGCATTTTTTTTAAAATTTCTTGGTACTTTCAGCTAATGTAGTCTATTAGATTCACAAGTCACCCCAAGCTCGTGTCTTCTTCCACAAATGTTGTGGTGAGGCAGATGTCCCTACCCTCGAGCTTCTCAAATGGATTCAGACTCGCTGGGCCTCCCTATTCAACATGTTGGAGTGAATGTTGCGCTTACAAAAGGTATGTCACACTGTCTTGGTATCTTCCACACTAACTGACATTGGTTTTTTTAGGGTGTCAATAGGTTCATTCAACTCACAGATGACAGTGATGAGGTTCTGAAACTGCACGGTAAATCCTATTCAGACTTCAAGCTCTCAGGTCAAGAGTGGTCAAAGTTGGAGCTCATGCGAGACATACTCCAGGTGAGTCTCTTTTTTCTGGTTTGTTTATACTAACTAACTAATTTCTACATTATAGGAGCCTGCTAATGCTCAGCAGAGCTTCTTGGCAACTTGTCAGCCCACTGTATGGTGTACTATTCCGATTCTTGAGTTCCTTCAAGAGACTTGGGAAAATATGGCCCAGGCTTTGAAGTTCAATGGTGTCGCAAATGCCATTCTCTTGGGTCTCAAAAACATCTGCAAGTGGTATCATAAAACTGACGACACGGACATGTACTTTGTCTGTCTCAGTGAGTTTTTTCTTTTAAATTCATCAGCCACATCTACTGATTCAAACTATATAGCTTTGGATCCTAACTACAAACTAGCATACACAAAAGACAAATGGGATACACAGTACTTTGAGGATGGGATGGCCCACCTTGAAAACCTAGTAAGTGCTTATCTACCCTTACGTGAACTGGTTTGACTGACAACACTTTTTTAGTTCGATGAATATTCAAAGTCAATGCCAGCTGCATCTTCTGATATGACAAAGAATGCGCAACACTATCAAATCACGCCTCACTACTGACGCCGCATGCCATCACCCATGTCAAGAGCTCACCAATTACCTTTCTGCTCCTCTGGAGGATGTTGAAAACCCAGTTGCGTGGTGGGGGGTGCATTATATTTATTTATTTGTTTGTTTGCATGAGAGGCTAACAAAATTAAACATAACATCACTCTTTGCAATATCCAATAACAGCCAAGATTGTGAAAGACTACCTTGCAATCCAGGGCTCAGCAGTTGCATCAGAGCGTGTGTTCTCGAGCAGAGGCATTACTGGTATGGCACGTCGCAACTCATTGCTTCCAGAGGTCTTCGAGGCACTGCAGTTACTTAAGAGTGCTTATCGTGAGGGTCATATCTCAGCTCGTGCTCATGCAGAACCTGCAGCGGTGGATGTTTAGTACAATTACTTGTCATGTGTCGATTTTTTTGCAATATTGATTTGGTTCATGGTTCAAACCAGTTCTGAACCTGAACTGGATCCCCCTGAACCCATTCGCTGAAGTTCAGGTTCAAGGTTTGGGCTGTCCCTGTGAACCGAACTTTTGTAAAGTTTGAGGTTCGGAAAAATTGCTCTCAGAACCTGGACTGAACCAAACTTTGGCAGCACTATGCTTCTAGCTCAGGTCTGTGAGAAGGGGCCACTGAAATGACTGAGCAAGAGTTCTTCATTGATATAGTCTTAGATGAGTTGATCATGCTCTAGTGCGCTCAGCAAATTAGGAGGGGCATAAGTAGTATCAATGGGGTTGAGCCCAAGAGGAAAGCCATATCTGATTTTGTCAGGGAGCTGCAGATATTGATCAAGAAGATTAGCACTTCAAAGAAAAAGTTTCGAGTTGATCAGCTGCAGTAAGACATATGAATTCTAGAAAAATCCAAGTCTGAGTTGTATGCAGTGGGAATGATGTGCAGGTTGTCTAAAAATACATGATGAGGTTGCAGAGGAGAAGAAATATGGTCCAATTTCCATGCCAAGAAAGGAATTGATGTGGGATAAATTTCCAAGACACTTGCAGCTGCAAGCACTGTGGTCTGGGGATCCACAGAGGGAGCATCTGTGAATCTCTCCATCATAGTGGGTGCATTTGGAGCAGACACATTTGCCATTAGCAGAAGATGTTGAAATCAATGCAATATTTGATGTTGAGAGCAACGCAGGAGATGACCTGTTTGTTGATGACCTTTGAGTGTGGTGTTGAACCTGATGGCATCATGGAGGAGGTGCAACTTGGGAAGGTATATCTAAGGTTGCTGCAGCAGAGGCAAATGGGAGGGGGACACTCATTGTTGGTTTTAGAACCAGGGTTCTGAAAGGACTTGTCTAGTGGAAGGAGGTTTGTGTGTGCTTGAATTGCAAGAGGGATACAGCTCGTAATGATGAGACTTGTTAGCAGCCTCTCAGACCTCCCTGAGACATTGTTCTCTGAGGATGCAGGTCTTAATGCTTTCAAATTGATGGTGGTACTTAGCCATTGTCAAGGGGTTGAGGGTCCACAATGTAGGAGGCTTGTTGTTCAATGTCAAAGGCTAGGATAGCTGACCAGTGACCCTCAAAGTCTGGGTGTTGACAGAGTTCATTATGATGCTTGGTCCATCATGCAAGGACCTCAGGGGAGGCATAGTCGCCAAGCAGCTTGAGAAATCATACCCAAGCCTCATGCCACTCTCTAATGGATATGGAGGTTTCTGTGGGAACTGAGAGATGTCAAGGATACGACACTTTGTAGGTACTGAGTTGTGGTGAGACGTATAATGTGTAAGAAACTTTAAGGAGGATTGTCATATCCACAATTTATGCAAGTCTCCTCCACCCTCCCCTATACTCCTCCACCTCTAATATGTGATCTCCAACATCATGTACTGTCTTCCACCCATGACTCAATCAAGGTACAAGGCACACACCAGTCCATTACAGGTCCCCTTTGTATATTCCTCTTTCCATCTGGCCTTGGTACCTTGTATGATCTGACTCTCCATTCCAATTTAGCCTGTTACATAGTGTGGTTCATTGTACCTTTTATTATTACTTTGTACTTCACTATGCTGTGCCGCATAGCCCAGGATTCCTATAGTATATAAACCTCATGTATTCTGGTAGTGTTTCTGCAATATGATTATAGACTTGAACCTATCCTAACCTTCTCCAAATTGACTTGAGCCTTGCTGTCATATACCAGATCCGACCACTCCAATATCATTGATATCCACTCTGTCCAATCCTATCATCTGCCTCCCCTTATGTCTGCTCCACTCATCCCCCACCCCAGTGCATCTGCTCTGCTGCTTTGTCAGTTACTTCCTGTATCAGCTCCATTCAACTAGAACCATTTCCCCATTTAGGTATATACTTCCTCCTTCAGTACATAGCTCTTACTTCCTGGATCACTGGTTATTCTATAGCCATCTGATTACTGATCTGTCTCATACATATTGATATCTGCTCCAACTCTATGTTTTCCTCAGTAAACTTAATTACATACTGTACATTCAGCACATAGCCTTATTGTTAAGACCGTGCTCGGGGTAAAGTGGAGTCTGAGGGGCTTGGCTTCAGCTCGTGCACTGCGCCCCTTACCCGAGTACGTGCCCCTAATTTCGGAGTGTAGTCCGACACGAGTTCTAGGAGTTCCGACAGGATGTCGGAACGGGGGTCCTCTGAAGGAGGACCGACTGACTACTAGGTGAGCGCAGGAAAGTCGGGCGGGGGTTGTTCCGCCCAATAGGAGGGAGGTGGGAGACCACTGCGGTCAGAACCAACAGTAGAAGTGGAGCAGAAGGGACTGCTTGGACGAAATCCAACGCAGAGCGGAACGGAGGGGATGGATGCGAAAGTGCGGGGTTTAGTTCCGACACACGGGAAGTCGGATGAGCGGAGGAACAGGGGAACGGAGGAATGTAGGAATGGGGGAACGACGGAACGACGGAACAGTGGAACCAGCGGGACAGAGGAACGGGGAAGCAGGGAAGCGGAGGATCGGAGGACAGCCGACCTAGGGAGTCAATCCCCTAGGCCAGGAAACAGGAGTTTGACTTGGGATAAGCTTTAAGTCAAAGGGCAGAAGAGCAGGGCTTAGAAAAGGTAATATTCAGACTGAGTATCTACAGACAAATGTACATATGTTTATATACTCTAAGTGATGAGCATAGCATAGCAGAAGGCTATGTGCTGAGTGTACAGGATTACCAGAGGATGACTGAGACATATGAGAATAAGGCTTGGAGAAAAGTATGTACACAACGGATCAGAAATCGCTAGGGTATAGGGATTAAGGGTGGTCCGAAAAGCGGAACTATGATACTAAACGGGGATAGGACCAGTTGAGTGGTTCCTAGTCTAGGAGTGGACCGGTGAGGCAGTCAGACGGACTAACAGTCGGGTGGGGGAATACAAGCGGAACTGAAGGACCCCCGTGGGTCGGAAAAGTGGAGGGAGTAGGAGTAGGATCGGGCGGACCGGTAGGGCGGAGGAGTGGAACCCCAGATAGGGTCAGATGGAAGGGGTATGGGGTTGGAGGACATAGGGGTAGTGTCGGAAAAGCGGAATGGGGTTGGGCGGAGGTAGCAGGGCTAATCCTGCTGAGATGCACTTTGTGCATTGTCGGGGAAGGAGGGATGGAGCGGACAGGGAAACAGGGGGTCGGACCAGGGGTAGGGATGCTTATAGGTGGTACTGGGGGTACTCGGATCCGGTATATGACACTTATGCTATGTACTACTGATCACTGCCTCTTTACTTGGAGTATATAAACATATCCTGTACTTAGCTTGTAGTCTCCTTAGTCTTAATATTACTTGTCTTCTCCCAGTTTCCACTGTGGGAATTCTCCGTAGGACTTTGCTTACTCTGGACACAAGTCTCATCTTGTTGTTGCCTCTGCTCCTCTGCTCTGACTTAGAGTTATGCTCTAAGTTATTACCCTTACTTCCCTCTGTCCAACAAACCAATCCCCTTGATCCCTTCCACTCTGACTCACTTCCTCCGCTCCATCTGCCCACTTCCTAGTTGGCCCACCACTAGAAGCCTTTATCTCCTGACCCTCAAAGTGGACTAAAGCGGTCCACTTGTCCTATCGTCGGACACCATTGGTCCCACTTCAAATTTGGGGCACATACTCGGCTAAGGGTGCAGCACAAGAGCTAAAGCCAAGCCCCAACCCCTCTGCTTCTCTGTCTGAGCACGGTACCTAACACTCGCTCATTGTCTACTCTGACCTCAAGACTAATCTCACTGTCCTCCACCTCTGTCTTCCAACAGTCTTAGCATTACTTTCTACATTGGACTTAGTCCCTCATAGCCTTACCTCTGTTAGAGCACATTAGACATAGTCCCTCATAACTGTACCTCTGTTGGAGCACATTGGAGTTGACCTTCGGTGAGCCCCCTATCTGTCCTTCGAAGTTAAGGGCACTGTACTTGCATAAGGAGCACAGCACACAAGCTGAAGCTAAGCCCTTCTATAACCTTCTTCCTACCTACCAGGCATGGTTTTGACAAGGATAGTTTGAGAAAAAGATGAGAGGCGTCTTTTGTAGTAAGAATGGATAGCAGGATGTGTTGATGACATTTAGCTAATTCTATGCTGTAAGTATGCATGCCATAAGTGTCAGAGATAGAAGTGGAGGAAATGTGTTCATTATTGATGTCAAAGAGAAGCATGGTGCTTTTAATAGAAGAGGGCACAGGGGTGATAGGAGAAGACACTGTGATGGGAGTAATAGAAGGTGTGTTATTAATAGAAGTGGATGGGGTAGGTACAGGATTGAAAATCAAAGTGTGTATGCTAGCAAGTTTAGAAGGGGATAAGTTAGTGAAGGCAGCAACCATGGTGCTGATATTGGGAGTGGTGGACTGGGGAGTCAATGGATCACCTGTGCTTTGTGAAGGTGAGGTTCATTTCTGGTAGTAATTGCCACATTCTCAGCGATGGTCTGGTTGCATGTGTGGATGGATCTACCAGGAGGAGGTATGGAGGTAGTCATTATGGTAAGAGGACCAAATTGATAGTGAAGCAATGAGTAATGTTGTCATATACCTGATCCAACCGCTCTGATATTAATATCCACTCCGCTTTCCAACCACCTCCACTCCACCCATCCTCTGCTCCGTCCAATCACAGTCCGCATTCCACTCCTATGCTTCCGCTCAACCGCCCGACCGGTTCCCTTCTATAATGTCTCCATTCAACTGGAACCTCTTTCCCCTTTTAGATATATACTTTCCCCTCTGGTACATAGACCCTTACTTCCGGATCACCAGTAATTCCTCTTACCACTCAATCACTGATCTGACGCGTACATATTGATATCCGCCCTGACTTATGTCTTCACCTGTGTAAGTACTTACAAATTATATCCTTGGTACATAGCTTTACAACATAGTTATCCTGATCACTGCCTCATACTTAGAAGTATATAACATATCTTGTACTTAGATATTTTCCCCAGTCTTAATATTACTTGTCTTCTTGCAGTCTCTATTTGTGAGAATTCTCAGTAGGACCTTGCCTCCTCTGGACACAAGTTTCATCTTGTTGTCACCTCCGATCCTCCACTCCGACTTAGAGCCGTGCTCTAAGTCTTCTCCTTACTTCCCCGCCCCTATCAAGTATTCCCCCTGCTCCTTTCCGCCTTCCGCATTATCCTCCGCCTTCTCTGCTCTGCTCCTAGTCGGCCCGCTGCTAGTAGCACTTACCTCCCGACCCTCAAAGCGGACCTAAGCGGTCTACTCGTCCTATCATTGGACAACGTCAGATCTGCTCCAAATTCAGGGCATGTACTCAGCTAAGGGCACAGTGCAAGAGCTGAAGCCAAGCCCTGACCCCTCCACTTCTTGAGCTGGCACAGTACCTAACA